GCTCCAGGGATCCTGGCCTCTGAGCAATCTCCTAGGCTGCTCCAGGCCCTCCCCCTTCCTCCCTCCCTTGGTCGGCACCTGCTCCTTGCTGCCCCTGCACCACTCCCCCACCCCTGCTTCCTCTAGGCCCACCCTGGTTCTCTCTCTCTTTTTTTTTAATCTTATTTTTTGGACTCCCCCCCCCCCAGCAGTCCCCCCACAGTTTCTCCTCTGTGACCCCTGCCAACAAACTGCCTCAGCAGCCATGTCACCGCTCCCACCCCTCCCCTTTGGGGAATGGCTCTGACTTCCTCCAGTGCTGTCTGCATCCTGCCCCGCTTCCCCGAAACCACCATTCATCCCCTCTCCCTGGAGGCAGGGTGACAGGTCACGTGTGCCCACACTCCCGGTTCACCGTCCAGGCTGCTAGTTTTTGCTGAATGTTCTGGCAAGGTCGCCCTCCCTCTCTGACACTCTGAGTGGCTCACGGTTAACACCAGGCTGGGAGTGCATTTCCAACACCCACGTGGTGGCACCTGTGCCTACCCAGAGTGGACTAAGAGCTTACAGGCCGGGATGGGGCTGAAGACTGCAGCCAAACCTTGCTGGACTGCAGGTTGGCCAGAGTCCCTTTGCTGGGATGCTTTGGTCCCCAGAGACACGTCACCCAGCTTTCAGCCTCAGCCTTTGCAGCCCCAGAGTAGACAATCGGAGTGTGTATGTGTGTCTGCATGGGACCCCTGGCCATGGCATACAGAGCCCCTGGCCGTGACACTGTCCCTTGGAGCCAGGCAGGAATCAGTATTTCCACAGCCTCGTTGGCACGTGGGGCTATTGGCCCAGGACAGAAGGAATGAGTGGCCCCAGCATGCCCTCCCAGCCCTATCCCTGCCAGGGTCTGAACTGGCGCAGCTGAAGCTGCTGTGCTTCTTAGCATGGGCGTATGGTTCCTGGTGGTGACCCTGGAGTCAGTCATTCCAGGCTGCAGCCGAGAACATGGGGACCTGACGGCAGGCTGGCCAGACAGCTGGCTAGGCTGGAGCCCTCAAAGGACCCTCTCTGGCTTCTGGCCATACCCTCCTAGTTACTGAGTCTGGTTACTGAGTGACCGAGGGTGACTCTCTGCAGGTGGCTGTGTTATCCTGCCGCCATTGCCCGTGCGGGCAGTGGTGGCTCAGGCCAGCAGGGAGCCCACTGGTGTGGGGGGGGACAAGGCATGCGGCCATGGCATCTCCCTGGTGTGTGCTTCCTGGGGAAGTGACCGGTGGGGCCTTTCCCGCAGGAGCCCAGCGGATGGGGCTACTGGCTGCCCCGCAGCTACTACTGACCTGCTGCCTCTCCCTGAGCGACACCTATTCCACGGTTTCTGCAACCCAGCCCAGATACTGGGTGTTGGACTGGGGTGGGAGGGACAGGGATGGAGCTCTAGGGCTGAGTTCTCCCCATCCCCTACACCCTGCTCCCTGCCAGGTGTCCGTACCAGGGCTTCCTTGCAGTATGTGGGGCCAGGGCCCAGGGCCCCTCCTCCTTCCGAGCTTTCTGAGTGACAGGGCCTGCCCTGGAAGACTGGAGGTGAGGGAGGAGGAGCTACACTTACAGCTTCCTGCTGAGCACTGGGCCTTCCTCGCCCCACTCCCGCTCCTAGGCCTTGGGAAAGCCGGGGTGGCTGCAGGTGATCCTGCTGGTCTCACAATTCCTGCCCCTTGGATTTAGGCTTTGGGTTTCTCTCCTGGCAAGGAGTGTCTTATTGTTTTGGAAGCTCAGGCTCCCCAACCCAGCAAGGGGAGGTACCCATGCGGCCTCTCAGAGTAAAGCAGAGCCCTGTGGAGACCAGCACATGATGGGTTAACATAGACTCCTTCACGGAGGGCCAGAGGTCCAGCTGATGCGGGTGACTGAAGCTCAGCACGTGGGAGGAACTGGAGGCCTTGTTCTTGTAACAAGAAGGTGTGAGTGAAAGCAGGGGTGGTCCCAGGGCTGGTATGCAAGAGCTGGACTCCTGCCCCGTGTCCTGGGCTGTCCCTGTGCGTCGCCCCGCCCCTCAACCTGCTGTCCTTGCTTCTTCTACTCCAGGCAGTAGCTTCCTGGATAGAAGCCACCGCCTGGCCAACCTTTCCCCGCCCCTGCCAGGACAGGGACCTGCAGTGGCACCTGCCAGCCCCAGAGCCTGTCCAGGTGCTGGGAGCGCCGTTTACCCAGCACCTAGTCAAGCAACTTTTCGTTTGCTTCCCAAAGCACCTCCTGCAGGCTCCGGCCGCAGAGCAAGCTGGGTAACCTTTCCAGAGCACGCAGGGACCCGTGGGTTACGTTCTGCTGCTCTCCCCAGTCAGGCTCTTCCTCCTGGGAGGGTGGTTCGCAGGGACAGAGCTGGCGTGAGGAGTCAGACTGAGCCGTAATGGGACCAGAATTCCCTCCATCGCTCAGGAGGCTCACACCAACCTCTAACCCTCCACCCGGACCCAGCAGCTTTTGCTTCTAAGATAGATGCCAACCCTCGTGTTCCTCACCCTAGCCGCCATGCTGCCGTGGCTGGAGTCTCGGACCTGGACTGTGGCCCTAGCCTCATGCCTGTGCTGTGTGATCCTAGGCAAGTCCCTGCACCTCTCTGAGCCCCACCTGTAGAATCAGAACAGTGCTGGTGCAAAAATGTTCAACAGAACGGCGTGGTCCGGACAGCATGCCTAGGGCACAAAACAGGATGCAGACCCCCCCCCAAACATGGGTGCCATGGCACCTTTGGGGGCAGAGAGGAGTTGCTACATGCCCTGCAAGGCTTAGGGAGCCCTGGCCAGTCAGACCCCCTCCTCCTCCAGGGAAGGGTCTCCCCGACAGACCCTGTTGCTTCAGGAAAGTGTCCCCAGATTCACCATCAAGGCCCTCATCTCTGCTGGGCAGAAGAAGCCCCAGGAGACCGGAAGCCACACAGTGGGTGGGTTTCAGAGCCCAGAGTGGGCTGAGCCAGACAGCTGGACGGGGCCCTAGGAGGGGCTGGGAGCAGGCTCGCTGCCGCAGCTACTGGCTGTTCTCGCAATCACTGTGTCTTATCGGGAGGGGAACTGAGGCATGATGGCAAGAACGGGAGCAGACACTGGCCCCTCAGGCTTGCCTCTCACCCATCCCCTCAGCCCCTCCCCCCTCGGTCTCACCTTCCCCAGACCTCTCCTGCTGGGAGCCCTCTCCCCCAGCTTCCCCTTGGCTACCAGCATCCTGGCCCAGTCCCCCGCCCCTCGCCCAGCCCCTGCGGTCAGCAGCTGCTGGCTCAGGAGCTGTGGCTTTCTGCTGAGCGAGCAAGTCCAGAGGTGCTGTCTTGGCACAAACCACGGCCCCACGGCCGGCCGAACCCTCCCGTCCTCCCCTTCCCCCTCCAGGCTCTGCGAAAGCAGGGGTGTGCTGGGGGGCAGGGTGAGGACAGAGCCTTCAGCTGCAGGGGATGAGGCCCATGAAAGGGGGGTGTCTGCCTGAGCTCACCAGGCAGGCGGTAGGGGAGCCAGGGCCCCTCCCTGAAGGGACAGCAAGGACAGGAAGTGGGCTACCCTGCTCCAGCTCTGCAGGCCCTTCCTGCCCCGGGCCTGTGGGTCCTAACCTACCCTGCAAGGGGCAGAACTTACCAGAACCATTTCCCACCAACATCTGCAGGAACCACTTCCCACGAGCCATGTGTGATGTGTGCTGAGGCAGCCCCACTGTAATGAGTCCTGGGGCCAGGACCTCCCCACCTGCCCCCCTTCCCCTGGGGACCGGAATCATCAGGATAGACCCGCTTTGGGAAAGCAGGGACTGCAGTTCTCAGACTTCTGTTATATGTAAATGTTTGACTTAGCAGCTTCAGTATAGTTTGTGGATACAATTCTGAGAATACAGTATTTCTTTTCTCTCTCTCATCCCTTCTTTGGTGTTTGAGATAACATATTACATTTACATTACGGTTAAAAGCCGTAAAGCCTTTTGTTTTAAGTAATTTGCTTATTATGTAAAAGGCAGAGTGGCAGAGAGGGAGAGACACAGATATTGCAGCTGCTGATTCACTCCCAGATGGCTGGTCCAGGCAGAAGGCAGGAGCCTGGGACTCCAGCTGCATCTCCCATTTCAGGAGCAGGGGGCCCAAGGACTTGAACCATCTTCTGCTGCTTTTCCTGGGCACATTAGCAGGGGGCTGGAGAGGAAGCACACCAGCCAGGACTTGAACTGGCACACTCAGATGTGCCACAATGCCAGCTCCTGAATTTCTCAAACCTTGTACTCACCTATTGAGCAAACATGAATTGAGTGGCACCTGTATATTGACTCCCTACTGTGCTGCAGGGGCCAGAGGTGCAGGAGCCCTGTCAGAGACTTCATACTTGGGCGTCCTGCCTCTGTGACAACCCCAGTTGTAGCTGGCCCCATCTTTTTAAAGATCTATTTATTTATTTCTGGGCCTGGTACAATAGCCTAGTGGCTAAAGTCATTGCCTTGCATGCACCAGAATCCCATATGATCGCTGGTTCTTACCCCAGCTGTTCCACTTTCCATCCAGCTCCCTGCTTGTAGCCTGGGAAAGCAGTCAGGAACAGCCCAAAGCATTGGGAACCTGTACCCGTGTGGAGACCCCTGAAGAAGCTCCTGGCTCCTGACTTTGGATCAGCTCAGTTCTAGCCATTGCAGACACTTGGGGAGTAAATCAGCGGGGAAAAAAAAAAAAAAAAAAAAAGATAATATCTCTTGGAAAGGCAAATCTCACTCCCCCAGTGGCCACATGGTTGGAGTTGAACCGATCTGGAGCTGGGAGTCAGGAGCTTTTGTGGGTCTCCCATGTGGCTAGAGGGGCCTAAGGGTTTGGGCCCTGCTCTGCTGCTTTCCCAGGCCATGAGCAGGAAGCTGGATGGGATGTGGAACAGCTGTGACATGAACTGGCACCCATAAGGGATGCTGGTGGATGCAGGTGGAAGGTCAGCCAACTGAGGCGTCATGCCCGGTCCCTGGGCTCAGCCCTCCAGACCCTAGGATTCCTGCACCTGCTGATGTCTTTGTTTGCCTTGCAGCCCACCCCAGCCAGATGAGGGCCTCCCACCGCCCCTCGCAGCCAACTCTATCCCCTGGAAGAGTGCAGGCCCCTGCAAAGGCTGCAGGGAGGCCCCGGGAGACCTGGTGGACACCTGCACCAGGGAGGAGGCCCCAACTGAGGAGGGCCCTGCGGCTGCCAAGCTGGACATGTCACGCCTGCGCAGCTCCTCCATGGAGATCCGCGAGAAAGGCTCGGAGTTCCTAAAGGAAGAGCTATGTAAGGCCCAGAAGGTAAGGGCTGAGGCTGCACGGAGGGGACCCTGGGGACAAGGACCAGCCTGGAAGCACGTGGCCATGGCTCTTGCTGAGGGAGAGTGACCCCACGCTGGGCACAAAGGAGGGACCCATTCTTGTCAGATCTTTTATTAAAAAAAAAAAAAAATTGACAGAGCTAACTCCCCAAATGTTCACCGTGGCGCAGCCTCCTCCCTCAGGCTGGGGCCCAAGCCAGGGGGCTGGAGCTCATGCCCAGCCTCCCTCGTGGGAGGAATCCAGTCACGTGAGCACACCATGAGAAAGCTGAAGACAGAGTGGGACGGGTCCTGTTCCATGGGATGGGGGTGTCTTAACCTGTAGGTCAGACTCCCCCGTGTCTTTTTTTTCCTGAAAGTCAGAGTTACACAGAAAGAAGGAGAGCAGATTATTTCCCCAAATGGCCACAACAGCCAGTGCTGGGCTGCTTCGAAGCTAGCAGCCAGAAGCTTCCTTCAGGTTTCCCACATGGGTGCCAGGGCCCAAGGGTTTGGGCCATCCGCCATTGCTCTCCCATGCCGTTAGCAAAGAGCTGGGTCAAAAGTGGAGCAGCCTGGACTGATAATGGCTCCCATGTGGGATTCCAGATCTGTGGGCAGAGGCTTAACTTGCTTTGCCACAGCACCAGTTCCACCCCATGTCTTAGTTAACTGACATTCGCGAAGGCTGTTCTAAGCTGCAATGGATGGATGTACAGGCAGGGCTGCGGCCTCATGCTAGGGGCAACAAATGCATCACCAACTCACAGCAGAGGAATTGAGCTCAGGCCCAGAACTTGGCATTCCGCAGCCGGGGGAGGGAACCTGAGCAGGTGCCTCAGCGCTCCCAGCCCCTGCCCTGCACCCCGCAGGAGCTCAGGCTGAAGGATGAGGAGTGCGAACGGCTGTCCAAGGTGCGGGAACAGCTGGAGCGAGAGCTGGAAGAGCTGACGGCCAGTCTGTTCGAGGTATGTGGCAGGACAGCCAGGAAAGCTGGGGCACGGGGTTAGCGGCAGCTCACCACCAGCTCACAGGAGGCTGCCTCCTACCCAGGAAGCCCACAAGATGGTTCGAGAAGCCAACATGAAGCAGGCGGCATCAGAGAAGCAGCTAAAGGAAGCTTGGGGCAAGGTGAGGCCCGTCCCTTCTAGCCCTGGCCCTGCTGAATCACCTGCCCTGCCTCATTGGGTCACCTGGTGGGTCCCACCTGCCTGGCTCTGCTGGGGCACCCGCCCAGCCCTGCCAGCACTGGCCTGCACTGCCCAAATGGACCCTTGTGTAGCTCTGGGGAGCAAGGACAGGCAGCCGAAAGACAGGGGCCCTGAACCCCCCAGTGTTTCTGCCAAGATGTCCAGGGCCTCTTGGGATTGGGTGGAGCTGTGGACCTTGACATTCTCTGTGTTCCCAGCTGTTTTACAAAGCATACAAACTCCAGGGAGCCTCCCACACCTTGTAGCAGCTTGCAACACGTGGCTGGGGCCCTTCTGTCTTCCAAGGGCCTGGGACTCCCAAATGCTCCCAGCACAATCTTGCTCACAGTGGAATCCAGAGCGGGCCCTGTCTCCTCTGTGAGCCTCAGTCTGTCCATCTGTTACATGGGTGTCCGGGTCCCTGCCTCAAGCGCAGTTCCCGTGGTACTGAGTGGGGTTAGGTACTGGTTGCTACCCAGGGTTGGCCATCCTGGGTCAGCCAGGGGGGCATTTACCAGCCATTGAATCCCACCCCTGCCCCCTGGCCAGATCGACATGCTACAGGCGGAGGTGACCGCCTTGAAGACACTGGTCATCACATCCACACCGGCTTCTCCCAACCGCGAGCTCCACCCGCAGCTGCTGAGCCCCACCAAGGCCGGGCCCCGAAAGGGCCACTCGCGTCACAAGAGCACCGGCAGCTCCCTGTGCCCGGCTGTGTGCCCCGCCGTAGGGCACAGCCTCACCACTGACAAGGAGGGCAAAGAGGTGAGGGCGGTGGGCAGTCCGTGAGCATGGGGACATTCAGCCAGATTGGTGTCCAGTGAGGACCAGAGTGACTCTGTGGCCCCGCTGTGTGGCCTGGAGTCTGTGCTGCCCCTTTCTCAGCCCGGGTGCTGGGCTGCTGGGGCAGCACACACGCCTGTGACACAGGACATTGGAGCCTTGGCCTCCGCGGGTACAGTCTCCCCACCTCGCAGACTCGAAGCAGTAGGTGGTAGTCTCTAGCCCTGAAGTTGGCTTTGCCCCTGAGACTCCTCTGCAGGGCCAAGGGTCTGAGCCCTACGTGACCACGGCCCAGGGGCTCCAGCCCACCTACAAGCACCCATGAACTCCAGGATCCACGGCGTCCTCTGCTGACAAGTGTAGCCTTTGGATAGAGTCTCCCTCCCACCTGGGCTGTGCGCCTGGGGTCCTGGTCCAGGCTGGGCTGCCACTCCCGAACAAGCAAGGCCACGGGGCAGGGTCCTGGTTTCCTCACGCTCCCCTGGCCAGTAGGGCTGGCGAGATGCAGATGTCAAGAGCTGCACCCCGGGGACACCTTTGAGAGAGATGAGAAGGAGAGGGGTGGTCAGCTCAGCTGCCTGGGCCCCCACTGCCGAACCCTACCAGGTCTCTGTCCCTGCCGCTGTGGGGAAGGAGGCGCGGGCAAGGCCCCTGCACCCCTTTCCAAGCTCTACGCTTCTAACGGTTCACTGATATCTCCTCCCTACTGTCTGTCCCGTGCACCTGTCTGTCTGTCCGTCTGCCCCGCCTGCCCAGCCGGGGCTGCCCCCTCTCCTGTCTCTGCTGCTGTGTGTGATCCCCAGCAGGGCTGTCCACCTTACCTACGAGCCGGCCTGGCAGCTCCCGCCCGCGGAGCCGCCTGAGGCCCCCACCTCCGCCACCTCTCTCTCCTTGTCCCGCCAGGTAAATGGCTCCAGAGAGGGGGCCCTCTGCCAGCCTCATGCCCTGTGCATGCAGCCCAGAGCAGGCCAGTGTGGTTCTCCCCACACCTCCCTCCTCCCGTTCCTGTGTGCATGTGCCTGTGTGTGCGTCGGGGCCAGTCCAGGCCTGAGGGTCCAGCTGGCTACTTTTTCTCCTCAAGGAGGGTTGTTTGTTCTGTAGCTCCAAGAAGCAAAAAGCCCACCTGGAGATAGAGCTGGCGGCTCGCGGTTCCCGGGGGGCAAGGAGCAGAGGGAACTTCACTCCCTGCTCAGCCTTCTCTTCCCAACACATCCTTCCCCATCGGGATCTGCTTCTTCTGCTGTGCTGGCCCCCAGCACCCTAACTGCCCCTTCCCGGCAGGTGGACACCACCCTTTTCGCGGAGTTCCAGGCCTGGAGGGAGTCGCCCACCCTGGACAAGAGCAACCCCTTTCTGGAGAGGGTGTACCGGGAGGATGTGGGTCCCTGCCTCGACTTCACCATGCAGGAGGTGAGGTGGAGACAACGGCCAGCCAGAGGCCCAGCCCCCATTACGCAGCAGGGATCCCGACCCTCACCAGCACCCCTTCGCCCTGCACCCTGGTCTTTGCAGCTCTCGGCACTGGTGCGGGCCGCTGTGGAGGACAACACACTCACCATTGAACCTGTGGCTTTGCGCACCCTGCCTGCCATGTCGGTTGCCCCGGTGGAGTGTGGCAGCACTAAGTAAGCTTCCTACCCACAAGGGAGAGTCTCACCCCTCCTTGGGCCACGCCCAGCAGGTGGCTGGGGAGAATGGAGTCTCAGATGGTGGACATGGCAGGAGAGGGACAGAACAGGGAGGGCCTTTTAGGGGTCCAGGCCCTGCAGGGGATACAGGAACTGGACTCTGCCTCCCCTGCCTGGCCTGTCCCAGGCTCCTCTCCCTCCCTGGCCCCCAGCTGACACAGAAGTGACCCTTGATTGCCGACAAGGCCTTCTGCACGTAGGTAGCCCAAAGATCTTGTCCTCCGCGCTACGTGGGCAGCACTGAGCAGGGGCAGCAGCTTTTCTGCCCCTTGGCCAGAGTGAGCGGAGTCGGGGCCAGAGACTGGGGAGGAGTCCCCGCTGGCAGCCCAGGGTCTGATGCCAAGATGGGAGCCTCCTCATGGAAGGGCACCACAGGAGCTGGGTTTTGATAGGATGTAAAGAAGTTTGCCTTTGGGCAAAGAGAAGAGAGAAAAAGAGAGAGAGAGAGAGAGAGAGAGAGAGAGAGTGAGAGAAGTTGGGACTTTAACAGAAACACCCCAGGCAGTGGGCCCCGGGGAGTTAGGGATGAGCCTGCCTGGGGCTAGAGTAGAAAGAGGTTGGGCTGGCATTTGGTCAACCGCCAGCCACCTCTGGTCTGTTTCTGCCACACGGCTACAGCCAAGGAGTTAAAGCTGTTTGGACCTGGGATTCTCCCTCACAGTTCCCTGGGTAGCAGGAAGTTTCCCACCAGCAAGGAGGAGGGGCAGAGGAGGTGGGCTTGGGGAGGGGCTGGGAGGGAATGTCCAGGCAAAAGGCCTGGCCTGGCTTGAGGTTAGTGATCCTGTGGGAACAGGAAGAAGGGGAGAGACAATTGGGCCACCTGGAGTTTTCTGTCCCGAGTTTGGAAATGGGACCCCAGTGTGTGCGTGGCTGGACATGCAAGGGGGAAGCCTGCCGACCGGGAAGAGTGGGAGGAGCGGTGGCCTGGGACAGGCCTGGCTAGCAGCACCTTGGTATGGTAACCGGTAAGGGGGAGGGGTGGCGGGCACTTTTAGATTGGACGTGCTTTGGTGTTCCTGACCAGGCTCCTCCAAGCTCTCCTACACAGGAAGGGTGAGGCAAAGGTCTTGGAGCAGGATCCAGCCAGCCTGAAGCATCTCGGCGGGGTTTGTTGTGCCTGCGGGGCAGGGGAACCCAGCCCGCTGTCACTACGGCCCCCATGTCTGCTCGCTGCCCCTCCCTGGGCACATCAGTAGCAGCCACATCCCATCCAGCACCCTCACAGCCCCCTCTGCTTTCCTCCCAGCACCTGCGCCCTAAGCGGGCTGGCCCGCACCTGCCACCATCGCATCCGGCTGGGGGACTCCGAGAGCCACTATTACATCTCACCCTCCTCCCGGGCCCGGGTAAGTCAGACCTCATAGGCAGGTGCTGGCTCAACAAGTACAGAGTACAAGGGCCACCCAGCCCAGACACGTGTGTGAATGCTCAGGCTGGGGCACCAATCACATCGAGGCAGCAGCTTCCAGCCACGCGCACTTTAGCATGGCGCACCCCTGGGTCGGGAGCCTGGGCACCAACTGTTCCTCGGGCCCCAGTCCCGGCCACCAAGTCTCATTCCTCTCTGTGTCCAAGGTTGTCTTCCAGGCACCCTTTCAGGACTGGTGATGGAATTCAGCTCCCAGGGTTAAGCCACAGCCTCTCAGCAGGCGTCCATCACCACTGTCAGCTGACATCAGCCAGAGGCTAATGCTGGGGCCATTGGGGACGTTCAGAGGGGGCTGGACCACAGCCCTGTAATCAAGCAGGGGGAAACCCCAACTTGCATCTGCACGTCTGTGGGGACCAGGCCAGCCAGCTGGTACTGTGGGCAGGGACTGTGAGAAGGGCCTGGAAGGATCCAGAAAAAGTCCGTTTAGAAAGCTGTGCCAAGCAGACAGTGAGTGAGAAGCTAGTTGCTCCTCAGAGCTTTCTGTGGCCTCCTGGGAGGAGCAGGCCCAGAAGGGGTTGAATGGCTCTGTGTGTCAGGCAGCAGCTGGGGGTCCTGGCAGTGTGCACAGGGCGTGAGCGCACACATGCAGATCTCTCAGCTGTGAGAAGGGGGTGGGGTCCGAGCCACAATGCAGGGACCCCAGCCCTCCCCACCCTCCATCCTTGTCTGCTTGTCACTGCAACCCCTGGCCCCCGTAAAGCTGTGCCCAGAGCCCCCAGGCCAGTGGTGCTCCTTTCTCAAACTGACCAGGGTTCAATGAAAGGCCATGCTCCTGAGCACCTCCCAGCCATGACCATGCACAGCAAGATTTCTTCTGGAACTTTCTTTATCTGGGTGTCGGGAGGGAGCGGGGAGATGAGGCGAGGAGGAACTGAAGTAGGGTGGAGTTGGCAGGGAGGGGTGGTCTCTCTACACAGCACAGCCCTTGGGGAGGCCATTCTACCCCCTGCCACATCCTGTTCATGAGTCTGTACCCTGCCCGACACCACGGCCTGGCTCCTACCATGCCCACCTCGGAGCCCTGTGGTCAGTCCTCTGAACTCGCTGTCCTCTCTCTCTCACCTCCTTGTCCTTGTCAGGTGCCTGCCCCTGTCCCATATCCTGCTGGGCAGGGGAGAGCCTGGCAGGGGCACTGCCCTCCCATGCAGCATCCCTGCTGCCCAGCATGCAGACAGGTGGCCCTTCCCCAAAGCGCTGGATGTCCAGTGGTCACTGCCTTCCACACTGTCCACGCTGGGTGGCCTAGAAGCACAGCCTGAGATGGGGCTTGGTGCAGCTCCCAGGAGGAGAGCAGGAAGCCGCGTGGGTCGGAAGGGGTGCAGTTTGGCTTTAGCCTGTTCACTGCACTCAGGGCCCTTCAAGGGGAGGGAGCTGGTCCTGCATAACCCTCTGCTGTGTCCAGCAGTCCTTGGCCAAGGTCTGCAGGGCAGGGATGTAGAGGGTCACCAAGTGGGAGCTCTCCACCTGGCATGAGTTCTTGGCAGTTTCTGAGCTAGTGCAGGGTCCCCAGGCTTCAAGTCGGGTGGGGGCTTCTGGTGTCACCTCTCCTGGTGTTATAAGTGGCATGCCAGCTGGCCTATGGGGACTAAGCAAAGATTCCAAGCCAGGCCCTGCCTGGTTTCCCCTCTCAGCCTGGCCACTTCTTAGCCTTGCAGTCTCCTCAATCCTGGCCTCCATCCTCCCCATGTGTCACCTGTCTGCTGCCCCACTGGCTGGTACAGCCATCAGCAGGTGCTGCTCTTAGCAGGGGAGACTCTAATCAGGCTGCTGTCACTCTGGTCCTTACAGGGACCTGGGACTTCCTACTCTGGTCTCAGGCCCACAGTGGCTTGTCAGGGGACCCCGTGTGTGAGGGCTGGCAGGTTACAGCCCACCTGCTTCTGCCCTCAGATCACAGCCGTATGTAACTTCTTCACCTACATCCGCTACATCCAGCAGGGCCTGGTGCGACAGGATGGTGAGTGCCCCCTGGTGGCTGGTGAGGGGATGGCGTCCAGGGGACAGTCGGGCTGGGCACGAACTGCGGGGAGGGTTGGGTGTTACAGCCAAGGCTGGACAACACAGCTCCTCATCCAGGAGACTAGCGAGGGGGCCAGTGCAGGCTAGAAAAGGGCCCCCAGAGGCCCTGGGTGCTGAGTCATGTGGAGACACGTGCTGCTGGGGACTGGCACTCGAGGCCCCGCATCACGGGGCTTCCCCTGTGGTGCTCTTGCCGCCTCCAGCCATGGTCTTGGCCACAGCAGGACTCTCTGCTCCTCACCCTCCACCATGGAGCGTAGGGGTGGGGAGGACCAACTCGGAGGGCTATGCACCCCCATGGTGGGGGGTGTGAAGCTGTGGCACACTGAACCTTGATACCTGCCAGGCCAGAACCCAGACACTGTGGCATCACTCGATACTTGGGGTCAGGGCGGGAAATCGTCTGGCACCTATGGTGTGTGATCCCCGGGCCTGGCACCGCCAGAGCTCAGCATGTGATGGCTCCTGCATGTGTGTCCGCATCAGGCTGTGTGGTGGCTGTTGGCACATGGCAGCTGATCCCTGCAGTGAGCTCAGCCCTCATTAGCATCCAGGCGTCAGCCCCATAAGGCCTCAGGCACTCACCAAGGCCACCGTCCTGGGGGCCTGGGGACCCCAGGGCCAGGGGTGAGGGCCAGACCACACAGCCAGGGTGACGCTGAGCCATCCCTGTGTGCCTGCAGCAGAACCAATGTTCTGGGAGATCGCAAGGCTGCGGAAGGAGATGTCGCTGGCCAAGCTTGGCTTCTTCCCGCAGGAGGCCTAGGCCCCTGCCCAGGCCTGGAGCCAGGCTCAGACCTGCAACACCTGTTCCGGGACAGACGGGCGGCAAGTCCTGGAGCCAACTCTGAGCTAGAAGCCGAAGGGATGTACAGACAACCAGGCTGGCAGGGGCAGGGGAAGAGGGGAGCCACCCTGAGCCAGCACCAGCTGACTGTCCTGGGACCACAGGCTTGGACTGCACAGCATGCCTCATCTCCTTCCCCACTGGGTTCTACAGCCACCAGAGAATAGCACCAAAGACCAAGGAAGGAGCTTGGAGCCATATTCTGGGGGCTTGGAGACCTCCGCTGAAGCCGGGACCCCCTCCTCCCTCCCCCCAGCCTCAGGAGCTGCCGCCTGCAGGTGCCTTGTTGCTGCCGTGTCTTCCAAAGGGGACTGTCCTGGGAGACCACATCTCCAGGTCATCCCCCTCCTCAGTTCCCAAGCGCCCCTCCTCGTGTCGCCAGCGCCCCTAGTAGCCATCCCTCACCCTCTTCCCAAGTGGCCTCCCGTGAACTATCCCACAACAGCCCCTGCTTGCTCAGACCCCCACGGGGTAGCAGGGCTGGACAGAAGAGCTGGTCCAGCTGGCAATAACCCCAGAGCATTCTGAAGAGAAGTCAGGACCCCTGCTTCCCATATAACTTTCCTCCCCCAGCTCAGCCCCAAGCTCTGGGCGGGAGGCTCTGTTTCCAAAGTCACTCTGAGGATTGGGGGTCTAAGACACGGGCAGGGCCTCCGGACTCTCCTGCCTGCCTGCTACTGTGCGTGGCATTCCGACAACAGCAGCCCCACTCACGGGGCTGGGCGAGGTGAGCAGGGCCTGGACCCACCCTCACCCATCCCCGGCCCTGCAGGGCTGGGGCTGCCACCTGGATGCATCCCTCGCCACACCCGGATTTCCTCTGAACGGAATGTAACATGATCTCTATTTCATAAAGGAAGGCTTTGTTGCTGCAGCTGGGGGGCCACGCGCAGCTCCTGCACCCTGGGGCCTCCTGCCAGGCCTTGGGCATCTGAAGGAATGAAACCAAATCCTTTCCTTACCCGCCCTCGTGCTAAGGATTAAGCTCAAATCCTGAGGTCGCCCCCAGCGGCAGCACCACTTTCCGTGGAGAGGACATTGCAGGCCTCCCCGCCGCTTGGCGTGCTCTGGGGCTGCCCCTGGGAGACAAGGCCAGCTTCCCTTTCCCTGTTGGGAGGCCTGGGATCCAGGCTGCCTTCCTGTGGCATTTTGGGTGCTTCCCTCCTCTGGGTTTCCTGGCTCTGCAGCTCCCGTCTCGCAGGAACCCGGAGCTCAGAATTGGAGCAGCAAGGCCTCCTGGGACTTAGCAAGACTGTGTGACAGGAATGATTGGTGATGCCCGCCTATGGCAGCAGCAGCAGCACCTAGCCAGCCATGCCAGGGACTCGGGCTTTCCCAGCCCAGGTCTTGAGTGGCTTCCTGGCCAGGGGCAGCAGTCGCAGGTGGCGGTGGCCAGGACCTAGGGCAGGTCCTGTGGTGGCCATCCCTCTCCCCATCTGTAAGGGCTGCGAGCTCAGGACTACAGGTGCCTTTGTTGAAAGCGCACAAACTCTGGGTGGGATGTCAGTTGAGGACTTTCCCACTGGAATGTCTGAAACAATGAGCCGTCCAGCCCATCACCTTCTCTAGCCAGTGGCCTTGTGCCCTGGGGATTGCCCGCCTGCCTCCCCATTTCATCTGTGATTTGACTCCCAGAACCCCTCAAGAATCACTGGCCCGGCCTCCTCTCCCAATCCTTTGTTCATTGCTCAACAAACGCTCAGGATTCTGTGCCGGGGCAGAGAATTTCAAAGAGGCAGGGCGGGGGGGTGAACCAGTCCTATACCCCAGGGGGGAGAGGAGGAGGAGGCAGGGAAGGTTACTAAGTCAGAGGACCCCACCATCAGACCTGGGTCTTCTGGTGCGTGAGAGGATGCAGGGCTGGGCCCTCGAGGTGCCCACCCCTGCCCCTAGCTGTTGAGTGCCTGGTCCAGCCACACCCAGGACCAAGCTGGGGCCAGGCGATATGCCAGGGCCTGGGCAACAGTCCCAAGATACTCGAAGCTGGCTCCCGGACCACAGGTAGGGTTAGCTGACATTAGCCACACAAAGCTATTCCTCTTGGGTAAACTTTCTGGATGTTCTGCTGGGCCTCCGTCAGTTCCCTGGCACATCCGAGTCATTTTTGGCCTCCTTGGCTAGCAGCAGTGCTGGTCTCTGAGGACAGCTGGAGACACCACACTTGGTCATGCGCATTGCGGCCCCTACTGTGTTCACCCGGACCGTGTGCCAAGGCTGTGTCCTTAGGGAAAGCCAGTCCCTACTGGGGCCTCAGTGTTCTCAATGTGAGTTGGGAACATTGGGCAACGCAACCCTCGCAGCTTCCTCCACTATTTTTTTTTTAAATTATGAAAACATAAAATTGACCATGTCTGAGTGTACAGTTCAGTCATGTTAAGAACTTTGTGTTGTTCTGAAATAGATTTCCCAGAACGCGCTAGCACTGCAATGCTGGGGCTGATGTTTGGCCCAGTGGTGAAGACAGTGGTTAGAGACGCCCCTCCCCATCAGTGTGTCTGAGTTGGGTCCCCAGGTCCTGGCTACTGCAGACTCTAGGGAGCTCCAGCGATGTCTCAAGCCATGGGGTTCCCACCACGCACCAGGGAGGCCTGGAGTTCTGGCTCCCAGGTCCAGACTTGCCATTACAAGGAACTGGGGCATGAACAGCTGATAGGAGCTGGTGCCTCACTGGCCTGCTTACTGGTCCTTTCCCCAACCAAAGAACCAAAAACTCTCTGCGAAGCTGACACACGGCTCGTGTTAACTCTCCCTTCTCCCCCCCAGTGCCTGGCAGGCGTCGTTCCGTGCCAGGAAGCTCCTCTGACTGGCAGGCCAGACGCAGTGGAGTGTCCCCTGTATTCAGTCCTGGTGTGCGAGGGGACCAACACTGCCCATCTCTCCCTCCCCTGGGAAAGGGGACACTCAGGTTCTGTGCCCTCCTGGTTCTTTAGATGTGACTGTACACACCTTCCCCAGAACCTTTCTTTTATACCCAGAAGTGATATCTAATTCAATGGCCAGAGTTGTGCTGGTCAAGAGCCAGGAGCTTCCTCTGGGATCGCCCACAAAGATGCAGTGGCCCAAAGCTTTAGGCCATCTTCTGCTGCTTTTCTATGCCATTAGCAAGGAACTGGATTGGAAGTAGAGTGGCTAGGACTCGAACCAGTGCTTATATGGGATGTCAACACTGCAGACAGAGAATTAGTGTGCTATGCCACCATGCCAGCTGCTATCCTGGGCTTTTTCTTTTTTTTTTTAAGATTTACTTATTTTTATTGGAAAGTCAGATATGTAGACAGGAGAAGGAAAGACAGAGAGAAAGATCTTCCATCTGATGATTCACTCCGAAGTAGTCGCAACGGCCAGTGCTGCGCCAATCAAAAGCCAGGAGCCAGGAACTTCCTTCAGGTCTCCCTTGCAGGTGCAGGGTTCCAAGGCTTTGGGCCATCCTCGACTGCTTTCCCAGGCCATAAGCTGGGAGCTGGATGGGAAGTGGGGCTGCTTGGGATTAGGACCAGTGCCCATATGGGATCCCGGCATGTTCAAGGCGAGGACTTTAGCCACTAGGCCGCGCCACCGGGCCCTATCCTGAGCTTTCTGAGAAGCTCTCATACTGTTCCTCACAGCAGTGGAACCAGCAGGGCAGAGGGATCCAGCTTCCTCATAGCCTTGGCCAACAGGCATTTCCTCCAAGCCACTCCAGCAGGTCCAAGGTCACATCTCACTGTCTGCTAACAGGTGGCAGTGACCATCTCAGCAGCTCCATTCTGCTAAGAGGCATTTCAAGCAGCTCAGTCCTGCCAACAGCATGATCTCTTCCGGAGCCCACTAGGGCTGTGGTCCAGCCCTTCCACAGCCCCATGGAGCTCTGGTGTCTTCCCCTGGCTCCCGCTTCCCAGCCCCACCCTCATCACCAATTCCCAGTGTGGTTTGCCTCGACTCCAAGGCCTGAAACTCTGACCGCATCTGCCCCGTGCATCCACTGCAGAGTCAGCGCCTGGCATTCATGGCTGCTCTCCCTGGCAGGCCTGGGTCTCTCTTTGTGGGTGCCCTAGCAGGCAGCTACTAACCCTTCCTGCTTGTCCCAGCCTCACTGGCACTCTGCAAGCCCCTGGCCCCAGGACAGCAGCCAGTGGCTCTGGAGGGCAGTGGGGAAGGCATGTATCCAGCAAGAGGCCAGGGTGGAGCAGAGAGCGCGCACACACACACACACACACACACCTGCTAGCCCTGCCAGCGGCTTGATGGCAGTTCAGGAATGTCGAGTGAGCAGTTTGAGAGGCCATGGGGGTGGGGAGACAGCGCAGGCCCAAGCTCCCTCAGCCCCTACAAATTGCAAGGTCCAATGGGTTGTAGCCCACAGAGGCAGCGCAGCCTCCGGGAGGCCCTGCGCGTGCACAGAGGTCATGGGCAAGCTAATCAGGCCTGCAAGGAGACACTCAAAGTTCAGACTGGCTGGGAATGTGCAGCTGCAGGTGGCAGAGGGGCCCAGCCTGTCTGACAGGCTGCAGAGGCTGGCCTGGCCCATGCCCTGTCTTTGCTTGTACCTCCTGGGCAACCCCGTCCGGTCCAGGGTGACCCTGTCTTCCAGCATGGTGGGACAGGCAGAGAATCCAACACTTGTCTTTCCAACCGTTTTGCATCCAGGAAAGGAGTCCCTTGATGGCCCCAGGGCTGGCCAACTGTGACCACTGCATTCTTGATGGGGGGGGGGCAGAATCTTTCCCCCAAGGACCCATGAGCTCATGCAGGTAACCTGCTGGCATCAGGGGCTCACTGTCACACCGGCCCCAGCCATCACATACTCCAGGTGGAACTCCCGTTTTGGTGACAGCGTCTGTGAAGAGGACTCAGGTAGCACTGGTCCATAGTGAGTGACATCATGGGCCTTGCTGGTTACCATGGCAACCTGTGGAAGGTACCCCTGGTGCCCAGGAGGGAAAACCAAGAGGCCTTCCTTGCCCTTGTGCAACATGTGTGGCGTAATACAATCAGTGGGGTTTTTGACTTACCTCAGGTAGAAATTGTCCTCCTCCCCCCCACACACACAAAATTCAGAAACTTTCAAAGTGCAAAGTTTGAGTTGGCTGCCCCTTGGGCCCTATGCCAAAGCGTGGAATGAGAGACACAGAGGCACATGCAGGAGCAGCCTCGGCTCCCTCAGGCTTGTTTCTCTCCAGCACTTGCTGTTGGAACTCCTTGTCCTGCCCCCCTCACCATGTACCGTGCAGTCAGGCCTGCGACGCTCGGGTCTGCACTAAACAGGCACAGACTTTCTGTCTCATCATTATGCCTTCAATAATCCAGCAGAACAACTATTTGCATAGCATGTATGCTATCTTAGGGGCTATGCATATTCTAGACATGATTTAAACCAGTTGGAAGGAATGCATAGGTTATATGAAAATACTGCGGCATTTTATATAAGCAAGCATTTTGGTACTTATGAGAGAGGAGGTTCCTGGACCCAACCCCCAAGCACCCTAAGGGACAATTTGAACTGTGGTGACTCCCAGCTAGACCACAACAAAATGTGAGCATATCAGAGACATTTACTCCTAGGGCATGCACATTGGGAACTTGAAGGGGAGCACCCTTGATGGAAACGCATTCCTCTGCCCCACCCCCACCCAGCCGCAATGTGAGAGCCACTGCTCTGGCGGGGGCTTCAAGCTCCGGACGCCCAACCTCAGCCTCATCTTGCTTCGTGTTAGGGATGAGTTGTTAACTGTAGGAACTGGATATGTTCAAACACAGAGAGCCATCTGAAGAGTCACCTCTGCTGTCAGGACTTGCATACATAAATGAAAACCGTGATGACACCTGGGGAGGAGCTGGGGAGAGGAGTTGGAAGCCAGCACCCTGGGAAAGGCAGCGTGTACTTCCAAATTCAGGGCGCCCGCAGCCCGACGGCGGGGAGACCCGAGGGGCTCTTGGTGAGCCGCGGCGTCGGAGGGGGGCGGGGGTAGGACTCAGGGCTGTTTGCAATCACCCCGAGATAGGTAGCGTCCTCACCCTGGGCGCTCGAGCTTCAACGTTCCAGGACGCTCGGCTTGGGTGGGTCCCTCCACTCCGGGACAATCAGTCCCCATTCCTGGTGCACAGAGCCGGAGGGCGCGGCGAGGTGGGCAGCGGGTTTGCGCTAGGTCCCCATCCCCCGCATCTCGCCTCGGGCCGAGCCCCGGGGCGCCGGGGGAGCCGAGGGCAGGACGGTGCCCCCGGGGCAGGGCTGGGCGTGGTGGCCGCGGCCCTCCCGGGTGGGGCGAGCCCGCCTCGACACCGCCCTCCCCGGCCGGCCAATGGAGGCCGAGACGCCTCTCCGGGATTGGAGCGGGCGCGGGGCAGCCGGCCGGCCGGGGGGCCGGGGCCAGGGGAGGGCGAGGCGGGCGCTGTCAGCGCGGTTATAAGGGAGGGAAAAGTTCCCTGCGCCGAGAGCCGGGCAGGCGCACGCTCGTACGGCGGCCGCAGCGGCAGGGCGGGGCCGCGAGGCGCAAGCGGCGGCGCAGGAAGCCCCCGGGAACGCCACCTCGCTTCCCTCGGGGTCTCGCTCGGATCTCGGCTAGCGGCCGGGGGTCCCCAGGACTTGGGCGCACAACCATGGGCGGCGTCGGGGAGCCCGGCGGGGGACCGGGGCCGCGAACTGGGCCCGCGCAGCCAGGGGAGCCGTTGCCCACCTTCCGCTGGGAACAGATCCGGGCGCACGATCTACCAGGCGACAAGTGGCTGGTCATCGAGCGCCGTGTCTATGACATCAGCCGCTGGGCACAGCGGCACCCGGGCGGCAGCCGCCTCATCGGCCACCACGGCGCCGAGGACGCCACGGTAAGAAAGCCCGGCGACGCGGGGTGGAGCCAGGCGCCAGCAGGGGCCTGGGTCGTGGGGCAGTGTGGCCAGCGGCTCCACCTGCGGGGGAGGGAGAGCTGGTAGCATCCTTCCCCCGCTGACCTTTGACCTCCATGCCCAGGACCCAGAATTAGATTGGGTTGAGACAGCCAGGGCCCGATGTGAGCCGAGGCGTCGCTTGGAGGTCTCCCACGCCGTCAGTGGGGAGGGTCGGCCTGGGGAGGCAGGGGCCTTAAGAGGTGGGTGTGCCAGTGTGCCAAGGCCTGCTCGCTCTAAGGCTCCTGGTCTGGGTTCTGGCTTCCCCCAGGCCACGCTGCTGGCTCTGGGTGCTTGCCAGGCCCTCAGGCTGGGCAGGGTCCCTGTGGCTGGCAAGAAATGTGTCTCAGATTGGGAGCTGGGCAGCAGCGCCTGGGCAGGGCTCTGCGGCTTCTGTAAACTGCTGCGAGGGGCGGTGACTCACCTCTCCTGGGCTGGCAGCTACACGTGGGAGGACTCGGCCAGCCACCGTGGGGGGTGAGGGGTGGCCTCCTAGGGGAAGCGCAGTCACCCCAGGAAGAGGTGGGCCCTGGGGACCCCCACTTCCTTTCCTTTCTCTAGCCTGTGTCTAGACAAGGAGGGTCCTGGCCTGGCCCCATGGGAGCGTCTGGCTGGAGCCGAGTGCCGGAACAAGAGACTTGTCTGCCCCTGCCCTGAGCCCCCCACCTGTGGAGTGGGGGTTGGGGCCATTGTGCTCTGTCCTTGACCCTCCAGAATGCCAGGCTCGCTGGCCCCAGTGGGAAACAGCAGTGTCCCTCAAGAGGCGGGAGGATGAGTCCTAAGGGTGAGCTTCAGGCTGCAGGGGGGAAGGCTGTGCTGGCCCTGGCCCGGCAGCGTCCCTGCCGCCTGCGGCTGCCTCCCTGGGCTGGCCATGTCTTCCCTGGACTCTGAGGACAAGAATCTGGCCATGCCAGGAAGCTAAAGGATTAGAGAGGAAAATCTGAAACTCTAAGAGCAGGGGCTTGGGGCCCTTGGGTGTCCAGAGGCTGGGTGGTGGCCCCAGGGGACAGCCTGGCGGTGGGTTCAGTCTGTGGACCAGCAAGGGAATGGACTTTTTTGTGCAGGCCTGCATTTGCAAGCAGGTGCAAGTATGGCTGCCTCTGTCTGTGTGTGTGTGTGTGCTGCAGCCCCTCCCCGGGCTGGGGTCCTGGCGATGCTTTGCTCAGTCTGGAGGACAGGGTGGGGGCAGGTGACAGAGAGCATTTCCCAATGGCCTTTTCTGCTTGTCGGTCTGGCTTGGGCCGGGGCGGGGGGGACTGCCATGTGCAATTCCTGATTTTTATTTAGACCTCAATCTCCTAGTTGATTCACAGCTCATGAGGCCTATTAAAAAGAAAAAAAAAAAAAAGAGAGAAGATCTCCATTCCCTGGGGTTGATCCTGGTTCTGCCATTGGCAGCTCCGTGTGACCTTGAACTGGGTCTGTCACTCCTCTGAGCCTGAGAATCTCAGGGCTAGCTGAGGGCTCAGCTGTGCCCTCCCAGCCCCCGGGCCTTGGGCAGTTCATGGAGATTGTTGTGCCCTGCACATGTCACTGCTGTTGGGCAGGTCCCTGAGAGCACCGCGCCCGGCAGAACACCCCTCCTCCACCACCACCTCGGGTAACTCTGGCTCAGGCCCCTCTCTCATAGCAAGGGGTTGCTTGGGACTAACTTTCAGCTCCCTCCCCAGTCTGCAGATGCCAGAAATAGCTCTGTCTGTTCTGGGCCCAAGGGGCTGCGCGTGGCTGGGATGGAGGGCCCAGTCTTGGTCCAGCAGGGTGTCCCTGGGGGCAGCCCAGGGTTGGGCTAGCCCAGTGCCCTGTGGTAGGGCCCACAGGCCAGATGCCCCAGCTGAGACCCTGGAGCTCAGGTGGGGGCAGGGCGGCCACCTCCCAGCAATCCAGCAGCCCATCAGCTGTTCTCATGTCCAGGCAATGGAAGCCAGGAAATTCCCAGAGTTCCTGTGGCATGAAGTCAGCCAGTGGCCATCCTGGGATACAACGCCCGGTGCCCTGGGGAGAGTGCTCTGGGCTTTGAGCCAGGATTTTCCTAAGAGTCATGGGCGTCCCAAGATAAGCAGAGCCAGCTCTGGTAGGGCAAGGCCCTGTCGCCGACTCCAGTCCGTGCCCTGGACACCTACTGTGTGCCAGGCTCTGAACTTGACACTTGACTTATTGGCACTCTCTCTTTTAATTTGTTGAGGTGGGTATTGTTTTTATTGTTCTAAGTTTATGGATCAAAAAGACAAGATTCAGAGCAGTAAAATGACCTGAAATTACATGATAGTTCTGGAACCCAAATGCACAGGCACGCGCTGGTTAGCCATGCGCTCTGCTGCCGCTTGACTGTTTATTCAGTCATTCATTCATTTTTTAAAAAAAATTTATTCATTGGAAAGGCAAAGTGATGGAGAGAGAGTGACCGACAGATAAAGCAAGTTCCCGTTCCCCGATTCACTTTGCAAATGCCTGTGCCGGCCGGGACTGGGCCAGGACAGACAATACCAGGGACCCAGAAGGCAGTCCAGGTCTCCCATGGCATCCTGACCTCTGGAAACATGACTGACCACCTTCGCAGGACGCTGCAATGCAGAGCGGAGCCCCAGGCGTGGGTTCCCCTTGCCTGCATCCCGGGAATACAGCGAGTCAGCAGTAGAGGGCAGTAGTGAGCAGGGCAGCACGGGCTGGAGAGGTGGCCAAGGTCAGCTATTGGTGGATGCTGGTATCTTGGGGACCACTAGGGTTTTATTCTAAAGGGAGGGGATGCAGGAAGCCGCAGCGGGCATAGCAGGGACATGCAAGGGATCTCATGCATTCAAAGGGGACCCTTCAGGGAGGGGGTGAAGGTACAGCCTCTCAGTGGAGTTAGGATGGGGAGAGGCCAAGAGGACGTGGCTGTTGACCCAGTCCTGAAGTGTGCGTGTACCTGGCTCCCTCATGGCAGCCACTGCGCATGAGCTCCAAGTGTCTAGAGTTGGCCTGGCCTCACTCTGTGACCTTGGAATTATCCCCATCGCTGTGACAGGGACAGGCAAGCTATCATCCAGGCACACTGCACCTTGGACACTTGGTGCTGTGGCCGCCAGAGCCCACTAACTCTGAGGGTAGCCAACCTACTGCCTACCCACACCCGCCTAGTATCCCTGCCCTGAGCTGTGGGAGGATCTGGGAGCGCCCGGCTCTGGACTCCTGCCTCTAGATGTCCCTGTGGGCCTGACCTGAGCTGGAAGTAAAAGTGGCCAGTGCCGGGAATGGCAGTCCTGGAGTTGGTGACCTGGCTCCATTCTGGGGGTTTTCAGTGTGGAAACTGACTTAGTTCTGCTCATGTCCTTATGAGCACAATCCTGCTGCTGGCCCATTGTATAGATGGGAAGCCCAAGGTGGAGATGAGTGTCATGGGACGCTCTTGGAACCCGTGACAGGGAGTCTCCATCCTTGGGCTCATATCTGAGGGGAACTGGAGGGGGCAATTCAAGGTGGTGTGAGGTGGGCCGAATGTAGCCAGTGGCTTCAGGGCCCACCTACCCCGCCATCCGACCCTGAACGTCCCTGTGAGAGTGGCCAGCCTAGCTCCCATAGGCACTTTGGCTTTTCCTTCCCTTTCCTTTTTCTCTCTTTCTCTCTTTCTCTTTTTAAAAATATTTATTTTTATTGGAAAGGTAGGTTTTTACAGAGAGAAGGATCTTCCATCCACTGGTTCCAAAATAGCCAGATGGCTGGAGCTGAGCCAATCTGAAGCCAGGTACCTGGAGCTCCTTCTGGATTCTGGATTTCCCACATGGGTGCAGGATCACGAGGCCTCAGGCCATCCTCTGCTGCTTTCCCAGACCTCGAGCAGAGGTGGAGCAGCCGGGATGTGAGGCAGCATCTACCTGGATGCCGATGCCTGCAGCAAGGATGAGCCCGTTGAGCCATCATGTCAGCCACCCCACCCTACCCCGCCCTCCCAGGGCGTCTCCTACAGTGGACTGCTGTGCAGCTTCCTGGAGAAAGCAGAAGTGCAGCGTGCAGAGGTGGTGATGCTGTGACCTGAGCATGCTGAGCTGGTTCCGATGCCACAGCCAGTCACAGCAGCTGGCTGCAGGAAGATACAGCCTGTGTGGTGCCTTGCCCTCCCCTCCCTCCCGTTCACAGGGACTCTAGGCGGCCCGGGGCCACGGCCTTGGAGGTGGGCCATGCTGCACCATCTGGAGTTGGAGGTGCCACGTTCAGAGCTGTGTGACCTTGAGTTTCTCTGTGTCTTCCTTCCCCCCTCTGCACAGTAGGGCTCTATCTGTACTTCTGCTTCTGCTCTGGCCTCCTGGGAGGCGCATCTGAGCGGCAGCGGCTCTGGGGGTGTCCTCAGAGGCACAGACCCTGCTCCACCCTCATGTGAAGGAGAGCAGGCACAGACCCTCCTCTCCTGCCTGGTCTCTGGGGTATAAGAGACAGAGCCACATCTGCACGCTCGTGCCGCATGCCTGCCAGCCTGCCCTCTGCCAGCAGGAGCCCGCAGAGGTCTCCTCCCCTGGAACGGAGCACTGGTATTGGCATACTTACTGCAGCCTGGGGACCTTTTCTTGAGCTCCAGCAGCCCCATTACATGGGCCATGCTGGTTGCATTTTGCTGATGGCAAACTGCGGAGTGAAGAGCGCAGTCCTGCAGGGGTGCCCTGGCTCCTGGGGTGCAGCTCAGGGACTGGCCCAGCCAGGCCCAAGGTGACTCCACTCATGGTGGAGCAGGTACATGGCAGGGCTCTGGCCTTGCCACTCGGGAGTTTCCAAGGACCGAGGCAGAGCTGGGCCGTGGCTATGTCTAGACGAGGCCTTAGCATCACAGGGTTCGAATCCCAGCTTGGTCTCTGAATGCTATAATCTAGGCCAGTTTCCCCCTACTCTGAGCCCCCCTCATTGGTGATAAACTGGTTCATCCGCCTATCTCCAGAGCTGCCTCTGGTCACCTGCTTTGGCCTGCTCTGTGCCAGCCTCTGGGGACACTGTCTTAGTGCCACTAGGAGCTTATGTGTGTGGGGGGGAGGTGTTCTGTGTTGGTGTCACCTTTGGCTCATTCAAGTGGAGGGGCACGCGGAGCCCTGGCCGGGTGCTCTGTCAGCGCTGTGGCCTCCCCAGGTGTCCTGAACTTTGGTCAATGTGTCCCAGGAGTCTCTTGCTCCCAACACCCCTGACTTCCAACTGCTGGGTGCTGGGCTGCTTGGGATCATGACCGGCCTTGAGAATCACCCATTGCCTCCCTGCCTTGGCCCAGGAGTGGCTCCCCTAGGCCAGCTGCCCAAGCATAGTTTTACAATCAGACCTGGGTCCCACTCCCAGTCTTGCCTAAGTGGCTTAACCTCTCAGAGTCTCTGCCTGGCTCTTGAGTCCTTGAACCAAAGCCCAGAAATGACCAGGTCATGTGACCCCAGCCAGCATTCTAGAAGGTTGCTCACTAACAGGTCAGTCCCAAGTGTCGATGCTTGCTCTACAGTATGAAAAGCAAAGGATCCAGGCTGCCCCCCAACCCCTGTCCCCTTTTACCAAGGGCCTGCACAGCCCTTGCCTTCCTACCTCTGAAGTCCTGGGGTCTCCTGGTACAGCGCTGGGCATTCTTGTCCCTCTCCCTGCTGCTCACACACACCCATCTGGCTGGGAGACCCTCGCTTCCTCTCCCCACTGCACTGGCTTCCAGCCGCCTGAGCCCCAGCTGTTCCACCTCGTCCCTCCCACGTTAGCTCAAGGAGGCTGCTGCAGAACAGATATGGGACAGGGAAGGCCCGCTGTGCCACGTGCATCTGTGTGCACAGTGTGTGTGCCAGGCTAGGCCCGTGCGGGCTTCACGGTGTCTGTGCCAGGTGGGCTGCAGGTGCTTGCCTGTGGGCTACTGCTCATCCTGGGCCCACAGGGAGCAGAGGAAGCCGCCCGCGAGGCCCATTAAGTCTGGCAGGGAGGGAAGGCGAGGCGTGCTGCCAAGTGGATGGGCGCAGAGGACACTGGGCTAACAAGTTTGGCCGCAAGCAGAGATGATAGCGCCTCACTGCTTTGGTAGGCAGTGCCTGGAGCAATCTCACTTCCAGGCAGACATAAGAGCGGGGGCAGAGGGACGTGAGTCTGCTCTTCCAGGAGGAGGTGGTGATGGAATGCCCAGGCACAGGAGAGTGCTTAATGCCAAGCTTAATGTCCACCTAAAGGTGGTGAAAGCGATGCATTTCATGAATATTTTACTACAATGTAAAAAGGTTTTGTTAAGTTGAGCCCTGCAGGTCTGGTTCTGGCATTGCTTTGCTCCGGAAGCCCCGGGGAGGAGACAGCAGCACTTGTTCCAGCTCTCACAGGGGAGGGTGCAGCTGTCTCCCCTGCTGTGCCAGCCCCGACTCCACTCCCCGGGGCACTCCTGATGCCAGCCTCTCCTCTCCCAGTTGTGTAGCCCCTGCTGTTTGGTGCATCTTCAGAGGGGGTGATGTCTGCACTGGTGTCGTCCCCTCCCCCATATTAAGGTCCGGGAAAGCCAGTCAGCTCCAGTCATCCTAGCAGGTGCTCCCTCCTGGGCCTCCACCCCCTGGGGTAGGGAGCGTGCTCCTGCAGATGTGGCTTCCTCGTGGAGGGTGTCGGGCATCGGGTGTTTCCTTTCCCCCGGACTGTGCCAGGATATCCTGGCAGCCACTGCAGCACCCAGCTGCCACCTCTGCTTTGGGCTTTGTTTTAACTAACACACAACAATCATACCTGATTGGGGGAGACTGGAAGGTAGAGTTAGAGAGACCGACCGATCGGCTATTACACCCCAAAAATGGCCATCATGGCCAGGACTAGGCCAGGTGAGAGCCTGGAGTTTTTCATTCAGGTCTCCCACATGGGTGCGGAAGCCCAGCCACGTGATTCAACCTCAGCTGCCTTTCCCAGGTACCATAAGCAGGGTGCTAGATTGGAAGTGGAACTACAGGGACTCCAACCAGTGTCCCCATCACAGGTGGCAGCTTAACCCGTATGGTGCGGGCCCCACACTGTGACATTTCTGCACCTGCTATGCAGTGCATTAGCAGTGTGTCAGAGTAAGAACCCTACAGCATGCTAGGCTGACCACAGCGCCCAGGTGCTTCCACTGTGGCACATGCAGGAGGCTAGGGTCGTCAGCTGGACAAAGGGAGGCCCGTTCTCGATCCGGTCTCTATTCGGCTGTTTCCTTTAGCAGCCGTGAGGCCCCTCAGCAGCACTCATCTGCCAGTGCAGGCTGCCATGTGGGCTCAGTAGCAGCTCGCACCCCAACAAGCTGAAGGGTTTTGGACAATTCATGGGCAGATGACAGGGGTGCCACAACCACAGCCCCTGTAAAGAAGGCAAAGTGAACTTGCCACAGGGTTCAAGTTGGCTGACCCGGCAGCCCAGCCTGGGCCACTTCTTGCCTGGCCTCTTTCCCTCGCCCTGTTGCTTCCCATCTGTTTTGTCTTCCCTTCTTTCTTTCTTTCTTTCTTCTTCTTCTTTTTTTTAAGATTTATTTATTTTTATTGGAAAGTCAGATATACAGAGAAGAGGAAAGACAGAGGGGAAGATCTTCCGTCCACTGGTTCACTCCCCAAGTGGTTGCAATGTTGGAGCTGAGCTGATCCAAAGGCAGGAGCCAAGAGCTTCTTCTGGGTCTCTCCGCGGGTGCAGGGTCCCAAGGCTTTGGACCATCCTCGACTGCTTTCCCAGGCCACAAGCAGCGAGTTTGGATGGGAAGTGGGGAGGCTGGGATACGAACCAGCGCCCATATGGGACCCATGTGGGATCCTGGCACGTGCAAGGCGAGGACTTGAGGCTCTAGGCTGCCATGCCGGGCCCTCCCCCTTCTTTCTATTCTCTTGCCTCCTTTCGCTGCAATGCACCCTACCCCAGCTATTGCAGAAACTCACAAACCTGGGAGATTTTACTTTTTAAACGATATCACCCCTCCTATTTTTTCCTTTTTTAAAAAATTTTAGTAGAGTTTCTAGTTTTATTGAAAAATTCACTAATTATGTCTCAAATTCTGTTAATATTTTTATGCATGAATACATACTTTTCACATTTGATTTGTTTTTCTCTTTTTCAGTCCATACAAATCACACATATCTTGGGAGTGCCATGTGGTGTCACAGTACCTATAGCTATTGCCTGATATTCAAGTCATTTCCTGATGTTCATTTATCATTTCTTTGAGGGTAAAAGCGTTTAAAGGCCTCTCTGTGCCCTGCTTGTGAAACCAAGTGAATTTAGCCGCTCGAGCTGTTTCAGTCCCTCAAAACTGGCTGTGTGTGGATGCTGACATCCTTCCGCGCCTGCATCCAGGGTCCCACCTGCCCTTTCTCAGTCTGGACAGATCCGTTTGCCACCCACATCCAAGTATATATGACTTGCAAAAAGCTTTTTGGAAAAATCAAACACTTCTAAGAAATGAATCAGTCTTTTTTAATTTATTTATTTCATTTTTTTTTTGAAAGGTAGAGTTAGAAAGAGCGGTATTTTATCCTATAGTTCACTCCCCAAAAAGCTGCAATAGCCAGGGGGGAGTCAGGAGCCAGGGGTTCATACAGGTTTCCCACGTAGGAGGTGGGGGCCCAAGCACTTAGGCCATCCCCTACTGCTTTTCCTGGCATATTAACAGGGAGTGGGTTTGAAAATGAGACAGCTAGGGGTCCAGTGCAGTAGTCTAGTGGCTAAAGTCCTCGCCTTGCATGTGCCAGGATCCCATAAGGATGTCAGTTCATGTTCCAGCCACCCTACTTCCCATCCAGCTCCCTGCTTGTGGCCTGGGAAAGCAGTCGAGGATGGTCCAAAGCCTTGGGACCCTGCACCTTCACGGGAGACTGGGAAGAGGCTCCAGGATTCTGACTTGGATCAGCTGAGCTCTGGCTGTTGCAACCACTTGGGGAGTGAATCAATGATGGAAGATCTTTCCATCTTTCCTCCTCTCTGTATATCTGACTTTCCAATAAAAATAAATAAAAGAAAAAAGGAAGTAAAAGAAAAAAAGGAAGTAAAACAGGTGGGATTCAAACTGATCCCCATATTGGATTCCAGCACTGTGGGCAGCAGCTTAACTTGCCATGCTACCACACTGGTCCCAGGGGTCAGGGTCTTTCAGTAAGTCTAGGTTTTATGCACTCAGTAGCATTTCTGAGCCCAGGAGATGAGGTCCAACAATCAGGGCTAGGGATACTGAGCGGGGCTCATGGGGTCTGGAGAAGGCCAGGGTAGCTACAGACAAGGCTGTCCACTTGGCCCTCTCTGAATGCTGAACAGCCGTCAGTTCTGCCTGTCCATCAGCAGTCCCCTGACCCTGTCCGCCGGCAGCCTCTCGGTACCTCGGAGTGCTGCCTATCCACGTGACCGCCTTTCTCCTTCAGGACGCCTTCCACGCCTTCCACCAGGATCTCAACTTTGTGCGCAAGTTCCTGCAGCCCCTGCTGATTGGAGAGCTGGCCCCGGAGGAGCCCAGCCAGGATGGACCCCAGAATGTGAGTGGGCGTCCTGACAGAGTCTCAACCCCTGAAGGACGGGCACTGGGCATGGGGCAAGTCGGTGCCATGGCCAGACCACCAGCAACAGCTGCAATGCGTCCCCCTGCGGTTGTGGGACCAAGGCTGGGCTGTCTGTTCCCCGAGTGGCCCTCTCTGAGTTTAGGCCTGTCACCAGGCCCCGAGGCCACCGAGGGTGAGGCAGCGGTACTCTTTGGAGCACTGGAGACAGACTGATAAGGAATGTCTATTTATTCCGAACAAATCCCAGGGTTATAAAGGTTCATAAAAGGAGGACAGAAGGCAACCCCCACCCCCGCCCTGCCCACCAAAGACGCTGTAACTGGCTATATAACTCGTCTGTTTCCCTTGATCTTCTGGTCATGTCAGAGGTCATGTTCCATGTGTATTCCCCTTGACCTTCTAGCCTTGTTGGAGGTCATATTCCACATGTAGGCCTGGAAGCTGTGCCTCAGGCCGTAGGGGAGTAAGCCTCGGGCCACGCCCAATAGGCAGCAGGGCAGGGACCTGGGGCGATTGCCCACATGCCACATGGGCATCTGTAGGGGTGAGATCCCAGGAGTCCAGGGCTCTTCTAGGGGTCCTCGGGTGAGCCCCTGTGGGATCTGGGTCTTGTGTCCCCATCCACAGCAAACATGATGATGAGCTGGCCCCCAGGGCTTTCTCTGCTTTTTGGCTCCTGGACCTCATGGGCAGCGTGTTGCCCATCCCCTGCCACTCCAGGCTGGGTGCTCTTGGCCCTTCATGCTTGCTTTGGTTGTAACCTCTGGGCCTGGCACTGGGAGGAGTGGCTGGAGCTTGGCCAGCTGTGACAGGCCTCCTGGGACAGCGTGGGAGGGGGGAGGATCTCAACTTCGTGACTGACTGGCCGTTGCACCGTGGCAGGCCCAGCTGATTGAGGACTTCCGAGCCCTGCGCCAGGCAGCCGAGGACATGAAGCTGTTTGACGCCGACCCCGCCTTCTTTGCACTCCTGCTGGGCCACATCCTGGCCATGGAGGTCCTGGCCTGGCTCATCATCTACCTCCTGGGCCCTGGCTGGGTGCCCAGCATCCTTGCTGCCCTCATCCTGGCTGTCTCCCAGGTGATCCTGGCCATGCTCAACAAACAGGCCAGCACACATTGGCAGTGGGGGGCAGATTAGCTGAGTGAATGATCCAATGAATGAATGAGTCAGTAGCAGCCAGGGGGTCTGTAAGGTATGTCCGTGTATGAAATGGGCTGGGAAGGAGCTTTGTCTGGTAGCTCCTGAGCGAGCAGATTGCTCCATCGCCCGATTGTGCAGGACGAGAGAAGGGGGTGGGTCCTTCTCTGTCTGGCGGTGCTGCCAGCCATGTGACAGAAACCAGACTAACCAGAGAGCATAACTGATGCATTCGCTCATAGTTCTCTTCCCACGGAACCTTCAGAAAAGGAGACCTAGAATCACAGGCAGGGTGAGGGCTCTGTTCTCATGCCGGCCTTCCCTGAAGTGGTGTCAGCCGAGTGGACATGAGGTGGACGCGGATGGTGGCGCACGTGATGGCGGATGGCACTGTCCTCTGCGAGTCTCCCTTGCCCCTCTCAGCCCGTTACTCACCCTCTGGGACCCCAGAGCGGGACCTTTCCCAAGCGGGGGTCTGGTGATCTCCTCTCAGGCAAGGAGGACAGAGTTTCCTTGTGGTCAAATAGAAAAGGACCTTGAGAGCTGTAGGAGACTCCGGGGCTGGCAGTGGGAGCCAGGTGCTCTGGTTGGAAGCCCCACATGGTGGGCAGAGAAAGGCTGGCTTCTAGGGCTCGCCTCGGTGGGGACGACGGGAAATGGGTCAGGGAGAAACCTGGCTTCTAGAAAAACTTACACCTTGGGTGTTGGTTCCTTTTTTTTCAAAGATTCACTTATTTATCTGAGAGGCAGAATGACAGAAAGAGACTTTCTGTTTCTCCACTGGATCATTCCCCAAATGGCCACAATGGTTGGGGCTGGGCCAAGCCCAGGACAAGAACCAGGAACTCCTGCAGCGTGTCCCACAAGGGTAGCAGGGGCCCAAGCACTCGGTCCATCTTCCACTGCCTCCCCACGCGCCGTTAGCAGGGGCTGCACTGGAACCGGAACAGCTGGAACTCAAACTGGCACTCCCATATGGGATCCAGCACTGCGAGACATGGTGTGGTGCCGACCCTACCTTGGGTTTTGTTTTCTAGACCCAGTACTTGTAAAATGCCACCCCCATCTCCCCAAAATATGATTGCCTGTGAATCTGGAAAGGGAGCTTTAGCAAGTGGGCTGGAGGGTGGGGGGCTGGGGGAGCTAGAAGACTCCTAGGGAATGCTAGGGCTGGGGGCCCGGGCCTCTGAAGCCTCCTCTGCTCAGTCAGCCCCTGGTAGTTTGGCCTCTGCCCCAGGTGACCCTGCCTTGGTTCCCAGGCTCAGTGCTGGTGTCTGCAGCACGACCTGGGCCATGCCTCCATCTTCAGGAAGTCGCGCTGGAACCACGTAGCGCAGCAGTTCGTGATGGGGCAGCTGAAGGTGAGGTGGGGCACACGGCAGATGGCCAGCAGAGTCAGGGTTGGCCTGGCCCTCCCAGCTGAGATGCCTGTCTTCTCCAGGGCTTCTCTGCCCACTGGTGGAACTTCCGCCACTTCCAGCACCATGCCAAGCCCAACATCTTCCACAAAGACCCGGATGTAACTGTGGCTCCCGTCTTCCTCCTGGGAGAGTCTTCTGTCGAGGTGGGTGGAGAGGGACATGGGTGCCCTTGGCCGACAGGACTGGCCAAAAGGAAGTCCCGCAACCTGCACGCTGCAGTGCCCTGGCCCCTGGCCAACTCCCAGACAGCTGGCCACCAGGGCGCCCGGTGCTAGAATCTTTGACCCTGACCTCTGGCCAGCCTCCTGACCTAGCCTTGGAGAAAGAGGCAGGGCAACCTGCTCCCCCAGTCACCACCTGTCTCCACAGTATGGCAAGAAGAAGCGCAGATACCTGCCCTACAACCACCAGCACCTGTACTTCTTCCTGAGTGAGTGTCCTTTGGGCCTCCTGGACATGAGGCTTGGTGGGGCTGTGCCCGAGTCCACATTGTCCTGCCTGCTGTCCTAGACAGCTCCCAGGCTACCCCCAGGGCCAGGGCCTCCTGCCTGAGTTCCCACATGTCAGCGGCCTCCCTGCCCTCACATCATGGTGGCCTTGAGCCTTGGAGCATGTGGGCAGTCGTTGGGGTGGACAGGGTGACGGTGGCCCCTGAAACACAGGAGAAGCAGCATGGGAGGTGGGAGCAGCTGAGTGAAGGCAGCATACAGTGCCAGCACCAGCATGCAGGGGAGGACCAGAACCCTCTGACCCCTGGGGTGCCCACCCAGCCCGGGTGCCCCAGCCCTGCCTCCGTGCCTCCATGCCACGCCTTCTTGCAGTTGGTCCTCCACTGCTCACCCTGGTGAACTTTGAAGTGGAGAATCTGGCATACATGCTGGTGTGCATGCAGTGGTCGGTGAGTAAGGGCTGCTCAGGACCCTGGACGGGCAGCGGGGATGGCAGGAGGAGGGCGTGGGAGCACAGTTCATGCATGGGCAAGTAGGGGAGTATCTGTCTATGCATTCGGTGGTGCTATTCACATGCATGGGTAGGAAGACAGGATGTGCACCCTGTTCTGTAAGTGTACGCAGGGGAGGACAAGTACACACAGGTGTGTGGAGCAGGGCAGGTGTGCACGTCCGTTTGCACAGGGCAGGGTGTGTGTGCAGTCGGTGAGCCTGCAGGAATCTCTTCATTAGGTTGTCCTCCCTGTTGGACATGTGCCAGCTTTTCCTGGCTGCTGTGTTCCAGCCCCCACCACACACACACACACACACACACACACACACACACACCCTACAAGGCCCCATTCCCTTTGTGCCCATACCAGGAGCTGGCAGAGCTGGGTCCTGTCCTGTTACACAGCTGAGGAGGCTAAGGCCCAGCAAGGGGCATGGGGGCTGTCCCTGGCTCTGTAACAGAGGCAGCCGGGGCAGGGTGGGTGCTCCCAGCTGCCCTCCCACCTCCCCAGCCCCAGGTCCTGGCTGCCTGAGCCCTTCAGCCCTGCCTGTACTCCGCAGGACCTGCTCTGGGCTGCCAGCTTCTACTCGCGCTTCTTGTTGTGCTATGCCCCCTTCTACGGCGTCCCTGGGGCCCTGCTCCTCTTTGTCGCTGTCAGGTATGGCCAGCATGGGGGGTGGGTCAGAGTAGGGGGGCAGTCACACTGCAGTGGGTTCCCTGTCCACAGTCTGCTCCTGGAGCCTCCATCTCCCACCAAGTGCATGTTGGGGGCAGTGGCTGTTGGGGTAATTATAACCAGGGGCATGGCACGAGCCTGTGTGTGTGTGTGTGTGTGTGTGTGTGTGTGTGTGTGTGCTTCCCTCGCGAGCTGGGCTGCTCTAGAGGGGGTGGCCTCCCCGTGGACACTGCTCCATTCAGCCGCTTTCAGCCATGGTGAGAGAGCAGTTCTGCACTCATGAGAAAGCCGAGGCCCGGGTCTGGGAGCAGTGACATCCGCACTCCAGGCTCAGGCCTGTGCGGTGAACTGGACATGGGACACTGCCTGCGCCCCTGCCACAGGGTCCTGGAGAGCCACTGGTTCGTGTGGATCACACAGATGAACCATATCCCCAAGGAGATTGGCCACGAGAAGCACCGGGACTGGGCCAGCTCTCAGGTGGGTGGTGGGCATTGGGGAAGGGTGTCCTGGTGGCAGAGCTCCAGTGGGGAGCCAGCCGTCCCCTCCACCGGGTGTGTGCTGAGGGTCAGCGTTCGTGCCAGCCTCCCTCACCTGCCCCCTACCGACCCCCTGCAGCTGGCCGCCACCTGCAATGTGGAGCCCTCAGCCTTCAACGATTGGTTCAGTGGACACCTCAACTTCCAGATTGAGCACCAGTGAGTGTTCTACTGAGGGTCTGGGAGAGGCGGGACCTAGGAGCCTGGGAGAGGAGGAGAGGGGCTCCACTTCAGGCTCGTGCCACCCTCTCTCGCCAGCCTCTTCCCCACTATGCCGAGGCACAACTACAGCAGGGTGGCCCCGCTGGTCAAGGCGCTGTGTGCCAAGCACGGCCTCCACTACGAGGTGAAGCCATTCATCACTGCCCTGGTGGACATCGTCGGGTAAGGCTGTGCCCAGTGCGTGTGGCTCCCGGGGCCCCACGGGGCTTCCCAGCTAGGAGCAGGTACTCATGGCCCTACTCCCAGGTGGGCTGCAGGTCTGTCCTCAACCCCTAGACCCTCCTCTTCAGCATCTCTCCGTGCATCGAGAAGGGAGGGAGCACTGGCAGCGAGCAGAATGGGTCCAAGTCCCCACTGACATTCCAGCCAAAGAAACAGAAGAAAGTTTGAAAAATATATATTGTAGAAACCACAAGACCTGTGTTAACCAAAAAGGGTGAGGGTGTCTTGGCTAAGAAGCTGGCAGGCTGGGCAGGAAGGATCCAGAAGCAGACCTGAGGGCAGGGACAGGGAGCCAGAGCGGGCTCTGGCCACAGGGTGCCTGATGCGGGCAGAGCTGTGCGGGAGGCAGGATGGCAAGTCGCAGGACGGCCCTGCTGGCAATGTGGGGATGTGCTCTGAGCAGGAACGAACTGGCCCATGGGAAGCAGGCCGGGTTTGGTCCTGGCCCCTTCGTCAACTGCCTTATCTTCCATATTTATGCTGCAACTCCTGCTGCTGCCCTGGGCCCTGAGCACAGACTCAGTACCTGGCAGAGCACCTGGCACCACATCCCTGCCCGGGGCTCCTCTGCCTGAACTGGCTCCTGGTAGGCAGGTCATGCGTTCTCAGGGTCTCAGGGCCCAGCCGGAGGAGGCACTGGGGAGAACGTGGTGAAGGGAGGGGTGTCTTACCCAAGCTCCTGCCCTCGCATGGCCCCAGCTGCCCGTCCCACTGCCTTCCTTCACTGCCACCCTGGTCAAGCTCTCCTCTGGGGCCAGTGAGCACTTGGCCTCCTTGGCCCCACCATACCCCCCAGCCCCTCCCAGCTGCCTGCCCCTGGGTTGGGGACCACAAGGGGAACGGGAATGCCCCTACACGCCCACTGAGGGGGTGCAGGAGGAGGGCTGGGCTCCTGCAATGGAGTAAGTTCCTAACCCTCACCTGCCTCCCAGGTCCCTGAAGAAGTCCGGCGACATCTGGCTGGACGCCTACCTCCACCAGTGAAGGCAGCAGCCAGGCGGGCAGAGAAGGGCCCAGCAGCCACCAGGTCCCACAGCCCCGCCCCCACCCCAGCCTGGGGGGCACCCCGCCTGCACTCCTGTCTGCTGTCTTCCCCTCAACACCCCCAAGTTCCCCACTGTCTGCTTGGCTTTCCCAGGCCCCAAGCCAGGCCAGGCTGGGGCACCAGGCCCAGCAGGACCAGGGGGAGAGGGAGGGTGAGCATGGCATGTTTTCCTAGAGCAAGAATTGGGGGAAAACTGTTATTTTTCTATAAAAACAAAGCCAGAGATGTGATGGAAATGTGGGTTGACTGAGTGCATTTTGGAACTGGGACCTGCCAGGGACTCCACAGAAACACTCAAGGACACAGGACCACTGTGGGGGAAGGGGTGCAGCTAAGGACCTCCCCCACCCCACATGGGGGGGCAGGGGCGGGGCTGTGGGTGGGCATCCAGCAGCTGTCCCGACTTGGGTCTTCCTGATGGCCTGGCCACTCCCTGACCAGCTGGGCAGGGCTTGTCATGCTGGGCCTCACCAACAGATAGGGCTGAGGGTCACCTCCGCAGGTGTGGCTGATGGGGGCAGGTGGCCACACGGTGCCTGATGGGGGCAGGGCTCTGTGGCGGGCCTTGAGGTAAGCCACAGGACACCCTTGCTAGCATTCTGGGGACGAGCTCTGAGCAGGAACCAACGACGTGGGATAACCTAGCCCATAGGAAGGAGGCCAGGTTCTGGGTCTGGCCCCTTCTCCGCAGGAACCTCCCTCTACGGCCCTCTGCCACAGGGCCTCCCAGGACACCTGCCCATCTCAACGCCATGCTCAGCATGACACGGGTGACCCACAGAGGCAGGCCAAACACTTGTGCATCTGTATGAATGGACATTTCCCCAAGTGTAGGTGATCCATCTCTCGGTGCCTAGAGTCTGGGGACCTGCCACAGCTGGCCTTGAACCTTCACCAGGGAATATACTAACCTTGACCAGGCCTCGGGCGCCTCATCTGGCTCACGGTGCAGTTAGATGGAATCTCTGAGGTTTGGGGGAGTTGGGGAGGGCTTCACGTTGCTTGCTGGGTGGAAGAGGGGAAGGCTAGCTGCCTGGTCCCCTGCCCCAGCAGCATCCACGACTCAGTGACTCCATGCCGGACTGCAGGTTCTGCAGGAGATAGCCACAGCGCCCCCAGGAGATTGAGAGGGCCTTGCTGGGAGCGCCCCAAGGCCCCACCGGGAGTAGCCTTGTTCTTCATCAAAGCTCCCACAGCTCTGCACCAGCTTCCCCTCAGTAGAGCAAAAAGGGACAGCTCCTCACAGAACCTTCCCCCATCCTCGGGGAAGGACCTGGGGCCCTGGCTGTGCTGCTACTTCCCTTCTCACTCAGGGTCCCTCCCCTACCCAGCTGGCGACAGGGGTTCCCGTGTGTGATGGCCCTTGGATTATCGACTCACTGTCGCTGGACATAGAGTATGTTCCTCCAGGGGACAACAGGGAGCCGGTGCTGGCCACCCCGCCTTCCTTTCCCTGAGTCAGAAAACCAGGAAGGGAGCGGTCTCCCCAGCTCACACCCTCCCCCTAGCCTCCCAGCCCTGGGCAGAGCGAGGGAAGCAGAAGGTGGTTTGGTCACAGCGAGGGGCTTGCCCTCCTCCAGTGCCCACCCTGATGGAGTCAAGTGGACTCAGGAGGGGATGGGGGATGAGGGATGAATGGAGGGCCAAATCCCTGTCCTCTGCCAGGGCCCCATGCTCAGTAATCTTGGGGGAAGTTAGTGGACCAACTTCTTCTACAATGTTGGAACGGCAACAGTGCACTTCAGTTTGTTTACAAACTTTACATGTATCAGCCAGTGCCTGGGGTTAGTATTCGGTCTTCAGGTTTCTGCCTTCTTAGCCTCAGTCTCTGCCCAGAGCGTGGCCCCTTTGCTCAAAGTCTCTGATCAGGCTGTTCCCACAGCTGGAAGTTCCCCTTTCCTGTTCTGCTCGCTCAGTCCGGGCCCTAGCAGGCGGGAGTTCCTGCAGAGGCTCCGATAAGCCCATTAGACCAGTGATAACACCAAGGACTTTGCAATAAGGACCGCTGGGTCTGCAGCGCCACCTAGGGGCTGCCAGGGCTAGAGCACAGCCTTGCAGAAGAGCTGTGCTCCGTGCCGCCCCTGGTGGTGGCTACGGGGAGTGCACCCCTGTTTCAGGCACCCTTGTCAGAAGGGCCCTAAGTCCTCCTTTGTCCCCAACCTCTCCTTTTTTCTTGCAGGCTAGAATTGGGAGGCCATCTTTGCCGTTGCCCCACTCCTGAGCTCAGCTTTCCCTCCTTCCCTGTGGGTTTCCTTTCCAGTCCCAGAAAGTCCCTCCCAGGAAAGAGGGAGATGGGGCTGGGCAGGCGCAGTAGGTACTGGTCCTCCCACACTGCCAGCTCCAGGCTTGGCCCTCTCCATGTTTCTGGTTCCCGTTTCTCTTGGAAATTTGCTCTAGAAACAGGTGATTGGGCAGAGAAGCCAACATCCTTTCAGAATTCACAGAACCTGGCCCGGCACGATGGCTCGGTGGCCAAATCCTCACCTTGCAAGCACCAGCGTCCAGTATGGGCGCCAGTTCGTGCCCCCGCCTCTCCACTTTCCATCCAGCCCCCTGCTTGTGGCCTGGGAAAGCAGTAGAGGATGGCCCAAAGTCTTAGGAGCCTGTACCCACGTGGGAGACCCGGAAGAAGCTCCTTGCTCCTGGTTTCAGATTGGCTCAACTCTGGCCGTTGCAGCCAAATATTTGGGGAGTGAATCACCGGGTGGAAGGTCTTTGTCTCTCCTTTTCTTTGCAAATCTGATTTGCCTTTCTAATAAAAATCAATAAACCTTTTAAAAAATACAAATGAGTTTGCAGAACCAAGTCCACAAATCACATTGGACAATTTGGCATGGACTGCCAGCCAGGCTCGAGCATGCTGGTTGGCCCTATGACCCCATATGTGCCATGGTTTGGCGTGTGGGACCTGGGGTGGGCCTTGCCCAGGGGGACCGGTTTCTGCAGGTGGCAGCTCAGTCCCACCGGCCCTACCACCTGCTGCTTCCATCACATACTTCATCTCTCATGGGCCTGGAGGGCTCCTGAATGTCCAGCTGGATGCCCACTACCCACCCACCAAGCTGACCCCTTCATCTCGGGAGCCTCCCAAACTTCCCTCCTCCACTTCTGGCCAGCCTGAGCTGTGAGGAGTGCTTCAAACATGACAGCCTCTTGTGCGTGGGAAATTGGGGTCAGCGGACCCAGCAGGCTGCTCTGTGTGCCATCCTGGCCTATCCTTTCTCCCTCTGGTCTCAACCTGTCAAGGGAGGCATCAGGATTTGATCCTCTACTTTGGCAGGCACAGGAGGGACAGCTCAGCAGTGAGCAGGTGAGTGTGCCCAGGGCTGGGCTCAAGGGCAAGGGAGCTGCTGGGGCAGTTAGACACCACGCTCTAATAGGTGGCGGATGTAAGACATCCTGGTACCCTCACGGCCACAGTGTCCTTCCCAGCCTTCCCCCGGTTCCCAGCCATCAGAGTTGATGGGGCCCTGGATCTGCAGTTGCTGGGGCACAGCTGGTCAGCAGCGCTGGCCTGCAACATCCTGGGAGACAGGGTTGTCACGGGGCAGGCTCAGGTGGCAAGTGGGGGACAGCCCTTCCCAGTCAACCCTCTCCATGGTCTTCCAGCCACTGAACAGTCTAAGGGCTTAAAACTTGATGGAAGCCAGCAGCTGAGAGGGGGCCCCAGGAGGAAAAAGGCAGACCCCTACTTTGGGGTTGTTTTCCCCAAACCTTTGCACAGTAGGGACATGGAGGTTGGGAGGCCAGCTGGGTAGTGGGGAGAGGATGCCCAGGCCCTACCACAAACCCCCTCCCCAATACCACGCCCACTCCTAGCACACAAAGCCACCCACGGAGCCCAATGAGCTACTAAAACATGAGAATAAAATTATTTCTTTTATTTTCAAAAAATCATAAAGGTGTGGAAGCAACACTGTAGACATTAAGACCAGTTCCCTGCGGAGTTGTTCCACCTCTAGGGGCAGCAGGCAGATGTTGGCTGGGCACAGGTGGGGCCACTGTTGTCACGACAAGCCGGAAGCTCGTCCACCCTCTTTCTCGCCCTCCGAGAGAACCACACTGCCACCTCCCACAGCCCTACCCCAGAGGTCCCCCACACGTGGCTGCTCCGGCCCTGTCCCTCCCCTAAATCTAAGAGTCATTGGTTAGTAGGTTAGATCGCAGAAAGCAGCAGCTTGGGCCCTTCCCTCCCCTCAGCTGCCCTGGCCTCCTGCCCTCTCCTCCTCCTCCTCTTCTTGGCTCCTGTGAGACCGTCATTGGACCCTACATTCCCTTGTCACTCAGGGTCACCTCCTCAGACCCCCCTCCTTCTCCTCCCCTCACAGTCCCCACGGTTCAGCGAGTGTCCCTATCTATACACCCTGGGATGCCAGCATGCCCTGTGAGGTGTCTCCCAAACCCAGCCCTGCTGCCACCCTCCTTACAGCACACTGCCCGCAGCATTGGGTTAAGACGTAGTCCTGGCAGTGACGGGAGAGACAGCACAGTCAGCCTGTGGCACGACCTTGAGGCAGTGATGGCCTCTGGCAGGTGGCTGGCACTGCCCAGAGGCTGATGGAGCATTTTGGAGGTCTGAGAGCTCTGGAATCTTAAGCCACCCCATGATGACAGAGGTCCTCGCTGGGCATGGAAGGCCTCTGCTGTGCCCATGACAGGCGGGCTGGCAGTGGCATTAGGCCCTGGGGTCCTGAGGCCAAAGGCTCTGGGGTGTGGAGCGCAGAGCCACAGTGCCTTCACAAGCCCCAAGGCCAGGCCACCCCATGGGCACTGCAGCAGATGTTATCCCGGGACCTCCAGGGCTGGGTGAGCTGCACTGCAGGCTCAGGGGAGACCCCAGGAGGGAGCCCCAGGGCACAAGGCACAGCTTATGATGGGCACACCACTGGCGGGGTCAGAGAAGAAGACAGTGGCCAGGGAGCCTTGCCCGGCTAGCACCCTACCCCACGGACCTGGGGGTCTGCGGGACAAAAGTGGGGAGTGTGTCCCTGGTGGCTGGTGGTTACAAGAGGGATGACCCTTGCTGGGCCCCTATAGGTCTCCAGAGGCAGAGGCTGGAGGGAGGGACAGAGCCACCTCCTGCGACCACCTCTCCCTGCACTCCTGAGAAGGGACCGGGAGGCAGCGGGCGGAGGGCAGGGATGGGGGAACAGAGAAGGCAAAGAAGAAAAAGGGAGAAAAGACCAAGCCCAGGACACATGGGCTGGCATGTGACCCAGCCTCATAGGCACCCTAAGAACAGAAGCCCACCCCTCCACGTGGCCATCACCCCCCACCTGGGCCCCTTCCCCGTGGGTGCCCCGAGGGCTGCGACCTCATTTGTGGAGGTAGGCGTCCAGCCACAGCTGCCCGGATTTCTTCAGGGACCTGTACAGAGAGGGGGCAAGGGACCAGGGCTCAGGCGCCAGGAAGGGAAGGGCGCTCTGGAGAGGGGCGTGGTCTCAACTCAGCCAGGGTTGCTAACTGGCACAGGCAGTAGCCATGAGTTCGGGGCTAGGCTCTGGGCTGACACAGAGACTCCCATGCTAAGGACAGAGGGTGGGTTCTCCCCCGACCTCCCGGGACAGGTGCACCCACCACTCCCCACCCTGCACCCTCTGGACTCCCTGCCTAACCTGATGATGTCCACCAAGGCTCTGAGCAGGGGCTTCTCCTGGTACTTGATGCCATGCTTGGCACACAGGGACTTCACCAAAGGGGCGATCTTGTGCAAATTATGCCGCGGCATGGTGGGAAAGAGGCTGGGGAGTCAGGGGATAGGAGTGTGAGGACACCTCGGGACCAGGCTGCTCCCCAGCAGCTGCTGTGACTCTGAGGAGGCCCCCATCCTAGCGGGACCAGACTGCATGTGCACAGCTCCTCCTGCAAGCCTGCGGGGCTCCCCAGGTCATGTGGTGGGGAAGCTGGGGTCACTGGCCGACAGGGGTGGGTGTGTGCTCTAGGGAGCTACAAGATACTGGGTGGGCAGAGACAAAAATGTCATGGACGGGAAGGAACCAGAGGAAAACGAATGGCAGCCAAGAACAAGCTGAAAAAGGAAGTCCCTCATCTCCCACCACACCTAGGGAGCACCCCTCCTGACCGCCATGGGCTGGCTGCAGAGCCAGGAGAACCACAGCTCCAAGCTGCCCTCTACCCACCTGTCCCTCCCACTGTCCTCCTGCCACCCCCAGCCCTTGGGTCACACTCACTGGTGCTCAATCTGAAAGTTGAGGTGCCCACTGAACCAGTCGTTGAAGAAGGATTGTTCCACGTTGCAGGTGGCTGCCAGCTGCAAAGGGGATGGGGTGAGTGGCCGGGGACAGAAGGCAGGTGGGACACCTGGCTTCAGTCCCATGAGGCTCAGCCCTGCCTGGGGTCTCTGAGCCACTATTCTGTGTCACAGTGCCCTGCTGGTGGCCTCAGTCTGCCCAGATCTCATCTCCTGTCCCTGCAGAGGATTCCTGCCACATTTTCTTCTTAGCCCTGAGGCCACCAGCAGGGCACAGGTGGCACTGCAGAGCCCCAAATCCACCAGTCTAGCCAGTTCTGGAGCAGGCCATGGACACTGGGTCCTGGCTTCCCTCACCTGGCTGCTGAACCAGTCGCGGTATGATTCAAGGTCAATCTCCATGACGATGTGGTTCATCTGCGTGACCCACACAAACCAGTGGCTCTCCAGGAACCTGAAGGAGAGCACAACTCAGTGTGAGGACTCTCAGGGGTTCCCCGTGGGGCCCGGTCACGTGACAGCAGACCCACGCTCCACCCTGTGCCCAAAGCAGGTGGGTACAGGACAAGCCCTTCCTCCAGGGCTTCTGCCCAAGCCCCCATCAGTGCTGGTGCTCCGGGGCCCAGGGCGGGTTAACCGGCAAAGCTCAGGCACCTGATGAAGTTGAGGAAAAGGATGGCTCCTAGGATGCCGTAGAAAGGGATGTAGGTGAAGAAGAACCGGGCGTAGTAGCTGATGGCCCAGGCCAGGTCCTGCAGGAAAGAATGCCATCAGTGGCCAGGAGGCAACAGTGTCAAAGAGACAGACAGGCAGCACCTGGCTACGGCCGCCTGCATGCACGGGGCTTGCTAACAGCCTGTCTTCTTGCCTCTGCAGCAACAAGGCGACTGCTCTGTGCTTTGGGAGATAGGCAGGGATGGGTCACAAGGGATGCCAGCCCAGGGGCAGCCATGCAGAAGGACCAAGGGGGACTCGGACGGTGAGTACAGCCCTAGACAAGCAGCCACCGGCTGTCCTTAGTTCCCTGGCCTCTCCATCTGCTTCCTCAGCTCTGCTGGCTTCAGCGAGTCAGGGATGGAGGGCAAAGGGCAGCTGCCCTCACACCCTCACTGGGATGTCTTCACTTCCTGGCCGGCACCTCTGCAGGAGCTCTGCTCCCCTCCACAGGTGCACCTGCAGGCACGCTTCCTCTCCCGCCCAAGCCCCACTTGTCTCACCAGACCTCAGCAGTGGCCTCTCCTTGACTGCCAGCTGGCCCTCAGGCAGCCACAACAACCACAGTGACCTTTGTTCCTGCAGATCCCACCCAGCCCAGGGCATCTACACTTCAGGATCTTCGCACAGATGAGCCCGGGGTGCTCAGGCAATCACCCCCAGGCTCCTGCACGGTGACCTGCATGGGACGACGCTGAGACAGCAGGCCATCTCTTGGGGACAACAATGGAGGAGAATGGTCATACTAGTGTCCCCCACCAACTGGACAGAGCAGCAGGTGACAACAGGCTGGACCCGGGCCCATGGCACAGCTGAGATAATGGCTTTCTCGGGGGCCACCAGGGCTGTGTTTGGTGACAGCCTGGTTATGATACGTGGCTCAGCAGTCAGGAGACAGTAAAAGAGGAAGGGCTGGAAAACAGGGACTCCTCTCCAGCTCTTCTGGGGGTCTGCCCAGACAGTGGCTGCCCCAGCAGAGGGCCCTGTGGGTGTGTCTGGGAGGACCCTGGCCATGACCTCCCTGATTCCTGCTGGCCACACAGGAAATCCCACACAGGAAAGCAGCAGTCTATCCCCACCCTCCCCTCCCAAGCACCCAGGGAGGAGGGCAGGCCCCCCTGGGGACTTACCACCCAGTCTTTGCGGACGATCATGGTCATGATGATTTGATACTGGAAGTACATGGGGATGAGCAGCGGCGGCCCAACTGTGCGAGAGAGGGCAGAGGTACTCCAGATGTTTCCTTCCAGGCTCCACTTGAGCCACTCCCCTGGCTCTGCCCCTGCCCAGGCCCCACCCCCACACCACCAGCACTTGGGAGATGGGGAACTGCTATGCTGAGCTGGGAGACAGGATCTGCAGCCCAGCAGGGAGTCTCGTGGTCCTGGAGGACTGGGACCTGGTGCGGCGGGCCCCTGCATGTGTCTGACAGGCCTGGGGTCCCACTCCGGGTCTGCGAAGGATGCCAATGGGAGGAGGCCAGAGGCCTCCCGGGCGGGGTGGGGTGCGCCCACACTCACTCAGGAAGAAGTATTCATGCTGGTGGTTGTAGGGAAGATACTTGAGCTTCTTCTTGCCATACTGAGGGGAGAAGGCAGGGCCTGAGCACTGGGCCTCTCGCTGTCCGCCCTCCCCACCTTCCCTGCTGGGGGACAGGCTTCTGTCCCTTTCCCTTCCCGGCGTGAGCATTGGGCTCCTGAAGCTCAGGGTCATAGGCCAATCCCCACCAGAAGCAACACAAGAAGGGCAAATGGCCTTCTGGGTAATGCACACCTCACCCTGGACAGGGCGCCCACAAGAGTGGCTGAGAGCAGCCAGGAGTGGACACAGCGGTCAGCAGACACCATCCGTCCCTGTCCCTTGCCTCCCCAAAGCCAGCCCTGAGAAATGCAAACAAAGGCTCTGGCAGCCACACCTGGTCCCCCTCGCCCACCCTGCCCCTTGTGTCCTGGGCTGGGCATCAAGGTGCACCTGCTCCTCTTGCCTGCAGTGCCAGGGACCATGCGGGAAGCCAGGTCTTGGAGCCAGCAGACTTGAACATGAGTAGACTCTGCCCCAAGTCCTGCACAAATGCCTCACAGCCTCCATGAGCCCTGCTGGCACCCATGTCACCAACTGCCAGGTGCAGCCAATGAAAACGGGGCCTAAATGCTGACAACTGACCCCCTGTGGGTCAATGGCCAGAGCCCCCTCCCCAGGTGGCGTCCCCTCCTAACTTAGTGCAACAGGGAGAGGAATGTGAGATGCAGATGGCAGAACTGCCCCCATTCAGCAGGTAAAGACAAAGGAAGGTGCCTTCAGGGCTGTGGCAGAGTCTATGGACTTGGGACAGGGGGAGGATCAACACCCCATCTGTCCCTGGACCGGCACCCAACTGAAGCATCACCAGAAAGGATCACTGTGTCTCTCAGGCCCTGGCAAAGCTCTTACTCCTTCCCGGAAAGTATGTCCCTCATCATGAAGGTTCTCATTAAAGTCAGGGTGGAGGCCGAGCCAGAGGACTCAGAGTGAGCCGCTGACCGACCAGCTCCCGCAGCAGCGAGGGGTGACAATCTGGGAGAGAGGGACAAAGGCACAGGGGAGGATGCTGCCAAGGTGGCCAGCCTCAGGGGAGCACGCCAGCCCTGGACTTGCAGGGGTCCAGGCTGCCCCTGGCTTTTGCTTTAATCTACCAGGGGCAGGAAACAGGTCTCCAGGCTCACCCTCCACTGTGGTTCTCCCTAGCCCTGCCCGCTGGCCTCCCCACCACATCTGAGTCCACAGTTGACCATATCCATCTTAGGGACAGAGCCCCATGGGAAGGTCTGGGCAGAGAGGGGAGGGACTTAGGGCTGCCCAGAATGCCAGGGTGGCGGGCCCATCTGAAGCTGTGTTGGCATAGCAAGTATACTGCTCTATTCATTTATTTTCATTTGCTTGAAAGACAGAGAGCTCTTCGTGCTCTGGGTCACGCCCCAGACACCACAACAGGCTAGGCTGGGCCAGGTGAAGGCAGGAGCCCAGCATGGCATCGGGATTTCCCACACGAATATGACAGGGACCCAGGTGCCTGAGCTGTGCCCTGCTGTGAGTCAGAAGCAAACCCAAGCCTCCAGCCCAGGCCCTTCCACGTGGCATGTGGGCACCGCAGCTTGCGTCTTAACCACTGTATCAAATGCCCGCCTAAGCCCAGCATTTTCATGGCTTCTGGTGACCCTGTGGATGCCAAAGATTAAGGAGCTGTCCCCACTGTCCCCGGCTCTTCTGTGCCCCTGGCTGACCTGCAGGAGCCCAGGGTACTGGCCCGCGGTGGTACACAGTTCACTGAGCTGCGGCACCCCACCTGGCTCCGGGTGCTACCACATGCACAGTGGAGATGTGCTGAGAGGGGCCAGCAGACAAAGTGCATCCGAAAGCCCCAGGGACAGTGCTCGACACAGGCCCATGCAGCCGCACGTCTGTGCCCATCGTGGTGGCCTCCAATGGGGCAGTGCTCTGCCAGGCTCTGGCTGGCCCTCAGCCCCTCTCCTGTGGAGGGGCCCTCACAGCTCCCATCCCACACAGGGGTCCTTGTCGCACACAGCGAGAAACCAGTAGGGGCTGCAGGCAAGAGTGTGGATGGCTCGTTGCGGCCAGACCCAAGGAGGAGACGGTGGCACACACAGCAGCTGGCCTTGAGCAGGGACAGCATGTTCCCAGTCTGAGGCTGACAGCTGGGGACAAGGGCCAGGGGCAGAGCCAGCTCTGGCACCAACCTCCTATTCCCAGCCTCCCCAAGGACCACGAGGCCAGGCTTGGCTGAGGGCTGGAGAAGGTGCCAAGGCCATGTGTGGGGTACATTTCAGCCTTGGAACAAAATGTCAGAGGAGTGACAAGGGCCTTCCTTGTGCAGGCAGGACCAGGGTGGATGTGTGTGTGTGGGGGGGAGTGGTAAGCTGCTGAGCCCAGCCACAGCCTCGGGGAGACAGAGAATTCACATAAACGAGCAGTGAGTATGGCAGCCAGAGCAGGCCCCTCAAGGCAGCACCGAGGCTGTGTCGGGGCCAGCACGCAGAGGTCTGGCCACTTCCTGAGGGTCATAGGAAGCATCAGAGGGGCAGTGGCAGGCAGGCAGGCAGAGGGACAGGGGTGCAGCTGGGCTGCAGGAGGGGTGGGTGCTTGGTGCGAAGGTGGAACCCCCAGCTTCTGAGTGTCCACTGCCAGCACAGCACAGACACCTGTCTCATGGCTCCCCTCAACCCCATGCAAGAAATGAATATGGAATGAGCAAAGCAAGGCTGCCCTGGGGCTCTCGCCGCTGTTGAAACGGCACTCTGAAAGTGTTCATCAAACCAGTTAAGCCCCAGGCGCAAAGAACCTGGCAGCGGGTGGGGGAAGGTGCAGCCGCCATTGAAATGAACTGCCATCCCATATTGAAACACTCGTTCCAGTGCTTGCTGCCGCACTTTTGATCTGTCGCTCTGCTGACGCCCCTGGGAAAGCAACCAAGGATGATCCAAGTGGCTGGGCCCCAGCCACAGATACGGAAGACCTACATGGAGTTCCTGGCTCCTGGCTTCAACCTGGCCCAGACTATTGCAAATATCTGCGGAGTGAACCAGGAGATGATCTCTCTCTCTGGAATTCTGCCCTTCAAGTTTATATATATATAAATGTATATGTATATATGCATACATATATACATATATATTTTTGAATATATATTTAAAGATTTATTTATTTAAAAGATAGGATCTTCCATGCACTGGCTCACTCCCCAAATGATTGCAATAGCTTCAGAAGTGCCAGTCTGAAGCCAGGAGCCAGGAGCTTCTTTGGGTCTCCCTTGTGCATATAGGAACCCAAACACTTGGGTCATTCTCCACTGCTCTCCCAGGTACATGAGCAGTGAGCTGGATCAGAAGTGAGGCCACTGGGACTTGAACTGGAATCTATGAGGGATGCACTGCAGATAGATAGGGCCTATTCATTATGCGACAACATTAGCTCCAAAATAAATATTTGAACGAAGAAGAAGGAGGAGGAGGAGGAGGAAAAGAAGAGGAAGAGGAAGAAGAAGAAGGAGAACAGAGTGGAGCAGGGCCTTTGTCATGGAACTTGGAACCCTACATTCCATAGAAGTGCCTGGTTCAAGTCCCAACTCCAGCTTCCTGCTGGCATGCCCCTTGGGGAGCAGAAGGTAATGTCAGCTCAGGTACTTGGGTCCCTAGCACCCACATGGGAGACTCTGAGTCCTGGTTTCTGGCCTCTGCCTGGTCCAGCCCTGACTATTGCAAGGCCTTTGGGAAACGAACCAACAGATGGATAATATTGCTCTGTGTCTCTCTCCTTTTCAAATAACTGCTAAATAATAATAATAATTTAGAAAAATAGGATGGAGCTATTAGAAAACAAGAGATGAAACTTTCATTATCTCCAAGGATGTGATTATTCTATTTAGGAAACTCAAGAGTGACCCAAAAGGAACCCAGACTCATGCAGACAGGAGCCAGACGTAAGAACACTGGTAAATATCAACCACTTTGTTGATTACTTAGCAAGCCCCAAGTGTAGCAACAAAAAGATAGAACAGCTGAGAATTAATTTTAACAAGAACTCCAGTGAGACATCCATGTCTCAATGTGGGTGTCTGGCACGGTGGCAAAGATGCTGCTTGGAACACTGGCATTCCACATCACAGTGCTTGGGTTTGCAGCTTCCTGCTCATGTGCCTGGGAAACAGTAGGTGGCGAGTGCCTGGGGCCCTGCCACCCACATGGGAGACCCCGGCTGAGTGCTAGGATGCCAGCTGCAGCCTGGCCCAGCTGCAGCTGCTGTGGGCATTTAATGAGCAGACCTGCAGGTGGAGGATCTCTGGCTGGCTTTCAGACAAACTTAAATAAATACGGCCACATCCAGGCAGATAAAGATGCAAAGCCAATGAAGTGAAGTGTGTTCCAGAAGCGGGAGATGGCTCCACGACAAGCTGACAATGAGTACCACCCCAAGGCACCCAGACACTGGGGTGAAGGGAGGGGGCATGGGATCTGCGGAGGTCAGGGACTGGCTGCCTTGGGAGACCAGTGGAGCTGGTACATCATCGTACCCACATCCCCTGCCTGTGGGCAGGCCTCACGGTCAGCACAGGGAACAGAAAATCTTCCTGCCAAGAGCTTCTAAGCCTAGCAGCAACAAAAGAGTATTTTGTTAACAATAACAAAGATAACTCAAAACATCCTATCCGAAGCCGTTGGCCTAACCAAGTGGCTGAGCCCAAACTGGGAAGGGGTGTGGCTGGCAGCAGGGCTGTGCACACAGATGCTCGCCAGGCAGCGTTGGTGGACCCTGCTGGCTGCTTTATTCCTCCATGCCAGGGAGGAAAACTCTGGCAGGTGTCCTGGCTGTCAGTCTGGGCCATCCCGAGACCAGGCAGGGACACCATGGTGATATGGGGCTAGCTCACTTCACTCAAAAGACCAGTCTCCTCCAGGACAATGGGGCAGGTACTTGAGCCTCTGCCATCCACAGAAGGGAGCTAGAGAGAGAGGTCCGGGTTCCTGGTCAGTATGGCTCAACCCCTCCACTGTAGCCATTCGGAAAGTAAACCAACAGATGGAAATTTTCTCTGTGTCAATGTATGTATGCCTCATTCTCTGCAATTGTGCCTCTCAAATAAACAAAATAAATCTTCAACAGAAATGTTGAGACGTTAGCACTGTGTTGTGGTTGGTGAGACCACCGACTGCTTGGAGCCCTGGTTGGAGACCAACTGCTCCACTTCTGATCCAGCTCCCTGCTAACGCATCTTATGGCCCAAGTGCGTGGGTCCCTGCCACCCACATGGGAGACTCCATGTGGAGTCTCCAGGCTCCTGGCTTCAGCCTGGCCTAGTCCCAGTCTTGGAAATCATTTGGAGTGTGAACTGGCAGATGGAAGACCTCTTTCTCTGTGTGTCTTTCAAATAAATTTTAAAAATTAATAACTTGAGGAAACATGGGATGAGTAGTTAAGCAAATGTTGAAATATTTTTAAATATTATGCATTTTTCCATGCACTTTCTCAAGCACCCTGGTAGAGGCAAGTGTGAGATCACGCCCTAAAGCCTCCTTCCTGGGTGTGGGCCGAGGAGGTGCCAAGGGCAAAGCTGCTGGCCTCAACATGTCGGGAGCTCGATGGCATCCGCAAGGGTAGCCAAGGGCACTCCTGCCCGGGCCTGGCAGCTCAGGCAAGCCTTTGTCCTCAGAGAGGAAAGGCCCCGGGCTCATCAGTCTACTATCAAAGTGAGCCTGCTGTTTCCTAGAAGGAAAACAAAAGTTTGTACTTGGGCAGAGAACGAAACGCCAGCCAGGTGGCAGTGGCTGGGTGCTGCCGCAGGGCCTGAGTCAGGGCCTTGCCACCTTAGCCTCATGTCCCAGCTCAGACTGGTTCTATCCACAAGAAACACATGAGACCAAGGGACCCACATGTAGAACTGGGGCTCTGTCCTGGCCTTGTTCTGGGCCTCGGCACCCGGGAGCACCGGCTGCTAGCAGGAGCACTTAAGCAAGGTGCCCTAGCCCAGGGCAAGTGGGCCTGGTTTCACACGACAGAACGGGGGTGGTCCTCCCTCCTGTGCCCAGCCCTGTCGGCTTCCAGGCTCCCCTCCATTCTGCTCTAGGTCCTCAACGCATTGCCCAAGAGCCAAGCGTGTGTTATCTTCTCTCTCCCTAACGTCGAGGTGGCTCTTTAATTCACTAAATACACGCATAGAGTGTTTTTTATTAAGAGGAAATGAAGATTTCCTCTTAATAAAATGAGATTACCAACACCACATCATCAAACTGTGGGTATGCCAGAGTGCAGACATAACTGAATGGGCATGCCTTCATTCCCGCAGGGCCCTGGAGCTCCCAGGGTGGGCAGTTCATGCCGGTGGAAACAGCAAGGCTGCAGGAGAAGAGGAGGTGCCAGGCTTTGTGTTTCTTCCTTAAGGAAGCAGACATAGGCATGCTCACACAGGCGTGGGACTTGGCAGGGGTTGTAGAGGAGGGACTCGCTCCATGATTGTGTGTATTTCTAACCTATACAAATACTTACACCCCATATGTTCTACACCTATGGAAATGAGCTACTGTAACAACCAGACAGGGTGGTAGAGCAGTCCCTCGTGGATCGACCACTGTGGGTTGTGCGTGAGCCTGGCTCCATCCCACCCCCTCATTGGACCTTACTTTCCCGTACCTCATGATAAACGCTACTTCCTTTTTATTTATTTGAAAGACAGAATGTCATAGGGGTACGCAGAGAGGGCTCCCATTCACGACAGTTAAGGCTGGGCCAGGCCACAGCCAAGAGCTCAGAATCCAGTCCAGATTCTCTCTGTGGGTGGCAGAGACCTGAGCCATCACTGCCAGGGAGGCAGATCCAGGCCGCGAACCCAGGCCCTCTGAAGTGTCCCAAGTGGTGCCTCCCATCCCTGCAGCAAACCCCCAGCCCATGGTTTCCCATGTGGTAGAGCACGCCAGGTGTGGCCATGCTGAAGACACAGTGACCCAATGCAGAGGATACGGTTTCTCCAAATGAGGCTTCCTGGGCACGGGCTGGCTGTTGGTTAACCAGGCCAGGGCCCTAGCAGCAGGCCTCCTTGGAGTCCCATTTCCCTGCATCCTCCCCTCCCCCAAGGAGCTACGTCCCCTGTTCACCTTGGATGCCATTCCATGTACATTCTCCTGCAGCCAACACCAGGGGCACCCAGGTACGATTTCCAAATGGCTCAAATGGGGCCGTACCTGACTGAGCCGACCCCTCCCTGCCTCCTGCCCTCCCGAGGTTGTACCTCAACAGGCTGCCACTCGCCCAGGACAAACACATGCAGCATCTTGACATCCGGGTCCTTGTGGAAGATGTTGGGCTTGGCGTGATGCTGGAAGTGGCGATGGTTCCACCAGTTGGCAGAGGCACCCTGCGTGTGAGCGGGGAGAAGGGTGAGGTGAGCAATGCAGTCCACTGGGCACCTGAGCATGCCTGCGTTAGTACCGTCCTTAAAACCCACAGTCAACTCCTGGCACCTCCAACACTCAGGGCTGACTCCATGACACTCGGGACAGCACTTCAGAACCTGAAAACTGGAAGATGACCCCGGCCCCACGAAGCAGGAGCACCTGCTGGCCCCAGCCTTGTCGCTTCACTGCTCCAGTACCACGTACCCTATCCTAAGAGGGTGACGGTGGCTGAGACACTTCTGAGGGACCCCGGGTGAACACTGCAGGAGGTATGTCTCCTGCACCCACTTCTCCTGGAGGCCAATGTCGTGCCAGGGGAGAGGTTTCAAGGACAATGAACGTGTTTCCTACTAGGAGATCCGGCAATTTCTCTCCTGTGGACACCCAAGAGGGATGGAAGCTTGTCCACACACAAAGCAGTACACAAGGATTAAAAAGAGAAACCAACAAAAACACTGCACTCGCTTGTCTACAGTAGCCTCCTTCGAAAGAACTGCATGGTGAAGCCAGAAGTGCCCACCAACAGGAGCTTGGGGAAAGGGAGAGTGGGTGTCCTCGGGGGCATGTTAGAACACGGACAGACCCGGGAGAGGTTAGGGCAGGCAGTTGCTAAAGGATGCCATGCTACACTGCTGAGAAACGCCAAAGAGAGGGAGCCTGGCAGACACTGAGAGACGAGCAGCTGCCTGGACTTGGGCTGGAGGTCCCATGGGGGATGGGGTGTGTGGGCTGAGAGGGGAGGCTGTTCTCTTTCAGGTGATGAAGATGCTCTCATTTGATGATGATGATGATGATGATGGCAGAAACCCGGGGTTATACTCAAAGTCATAAACATGGATGCCTTCAAGAGAAGATGAACTGGACCCAGTGCAGTAGACTAGCGGCTAAAGTCCTTGCCTTGCATACACCAGGATCCCATGTGGGGTGCCAGTTCTAATCCCAATGGTCCCACTTCCCATCCAGCTCCCTGCTTGTGGCCTGGGAAAGCAGTGGAGAATGGCACAAAGCCTTGGGACCCTGCACCCACGTGGGGGACCCGGCAGAGGCTTGTGGCTTCATTGTGGTTCAGCACCTGCCGTTGTGGACACTTGGGGAGTGAATCAGCAGATAGAAGATCTTCCTCTCTGTCTCTGCTTCTCTCTGTGTATCTGACTTTCCAACCCCCTCCCGCAAAGAAAAGAGTAGATGAACTGTGTGGACTATGCATTACATGTTAATAAAGTTTTCTCGACTTTTTTTTTCTTTTTTGAAAGATGGAGAACCATCTGCTGGTTCCTCTCCGACTATTCTCAACTGTTGCCAGGGTGGGCCCGGGCCAAAGCCAGAAGCCAGGAACTCCATCAGGGTCTCCCACGAGGGTATCAGAGGCCCAACGACTTGAGCCATTATCTGCTCCCTCCGTGGGTGCACTTCAGCAGGAAGCTGATGCAGGCAAAAGCAGAGCCAGGCTCGCAAGCAGTGCCTTAACTGCTGGGCAAATGCCTGCCCCAGTAAGGGCTTCACAAAAAATTAATTAATTAAAAAAGAATTGCGGGTCCAGCGTGGTGGCCTAGTGCCTAAAGTCTTCGCCTTGCGTATGCCAAGATCCCATATGGGTACTGGTTCTAACCCCCGGCTGCCCCACTTTCCATCCAGCTCCTTGTGTGTGGCCTGGGAAAGCAGTTGAGGATGGCACAAAGCCTTGGGACCCTGCACCCACACAGGAGACCCAGAAGAAGCTCTTGGCTCCTGGCTTTGGATTGGCTCCAGCCATTGCAGCTGCTTGGGGAATGTATCAGCAGATGGAAGATCTTCCTCTCTGTCTCTCCTCCTCTCTGTATATCTGACTTTCCAATAAAAATAAATAAATCTTTAAAAAAGATAAAATTATTAAAAAAGAAAAGAAGAAAAAAGAAATTGCACAAGAAGCCACTGTGCTGAATGGCAAGTGCCCTGACTCCTATCCCACTCAGGAGGTGACACTGGTTCTGACAATTCCATAAACTGGTGACCCCATGAGACAAGGGCATTTATTTGCAGATCACAGACGGCCGTCTCTGACTCAAGCTTATATGACATCATGTAGTGGCGGTTCCCCCCAGCAAAGTCAGCCAGGGACACTCCACTGACCCTCCCGTGTCAGCACTCAACTTGGGAGCTGTGATCCAATCGATGCTTTGGCGAAGGGTCCGGCCGTCAGTGAAGAGGCCTATTTGCTAAAAACAAACATTGACTTGGAAAGATGCTTTTGGCACGCGCCCTGTCTCAGGACACCAACAGCGTGGGAGCAGACGGCCAGAACAGATGTGGCCCTTGGAGGCAGGCAGGACTCCAATCCAGCTGAACAGAGAGATGTCAGCGAGTGTGAGCCCAGAGGAATTCCTGGGAGAACTGAATGGAAGACACACAGAGACACGGAGGTGCGAGGCCTGGGAGGCCAAGATGCGCCCACGCAGGAACAGCTGGGCCAGCCTGCAGTGTGCGGCAGGCTCAGCCTCAGCATACCGGTCAGGATGCTTGCACTTCCCGGTGCCCTCCAAGGCAGACCCTGGGAGGCAATGTCTTTTTTTTTTTTTTTAAAGATTTATTTTTATTATTTTTTCATTGGAAAGGCGGATATACAGAGAGGAGAGACAGAGAGGAAGATCTTCCGTCCGATGATTCACTCCCCAAGTGAGCGCAACGGGCCGATACTATGCCGATCCGAAGCCAGGAGCCTCTTCCGGGTCTCCCACGCGGGTGCAGGTTCCCAAAGCTTTGGGCCGTCCTCGACTGCTTTCCCAGGCCACAAGCAGGGAGCTGGAAGGGAAGCGGGGCTGCCGGGATTAGAACCGGCGCCCATATGGGATCCCGGGGGTGCAAGGCGAGGACCTTTAACCACTTGCGCCACCGCGCCGGGCCCGGAGGCAATGTCTTGAGTGATTGGATGCCTGCCACCCACGAGGGTGACCCAGATTCAGTCTCCTTGGCCTGGCTGCCCTTCCCCAGCTGGTTTTCGGCCTTTGGGGAACAAGCTTGCTCTGTTTCTGCCTATCGTAAGTATTTATTTGGAAGACAGAACGATACAGAGAAGGAAGGAGAGAGAGACCTTCCATCCATTGGTTCACTCCCTCAAATGGCCACACTGGCTAAGGCTGAGCCAGGGTAAAGCAGAGTCGTGGACCACATCAGAATCTCCCACATGGGCGACAGGGGTCTAAATACTTGAGCCACCTTCTGCTGCTTCTTCTGATGCATTAGCTGGGAGCTGGATGAGAAATGGAGCAGCCAGGACTGCCAAATCCCCACCCTCAGGGAGCCATCCACCTCTACCAGCCTCCTGCTAATGGTCAGCCACACAGCAAGGGGCTTTCCGAACAGACCGCCCTGGGAATGTTCCAGAAGCAGAATGAAAGCCCCTAGGCAGGGGAGCGGAAGAGCCAGAAGCACAAGGAAAACTAGTACTCCTGGCTTTAAAAGAACCAAATCCACCCACAGCCCCGCTTAAAATTTGCTTTTTGGGGGCCGATGCCGTGCTGTAGCTGTGGCACCAGCTCCCCATACAGGTGGTACAAGCTCTGGCTGCCCCACCCCAACCCAGCTCCCCCGTTAGTGTGCCTGCGAAAGCAGCAGGAGGTGGCCCAAGTGCTTGGGTCCCTGCAACCCATGTGGGAGGATGCTCTTGGCTTCTGGCTTTAGACCAGTCCAGCCACAGCTGCTGTGAGTAAACCAACTGAGGGAGACTCTAACTCTTTCAAATAAGAAATAAACTCCAGGCTGATGACATCTGTTTAAATGCTTTTTAATTGCTATCAGCTGAAATAAAAGTGTAATTGGAGTTTGACTTGGTATAAATACAACAGTTGAAATTAAAATTATGTGGCTTTCCATACGCTGGGTGCTCAAACCTTAAACATTTCACAGATAGCAGATTTAATGCTCTAGGAGAAAAGAAAAAAAGCCATGAAAACCATGATTTCAGGGCTAGCATGTGTCTCGGTGGGCTAAGCGACACCTGCAACCCACTTTGGTGTGCCAGTTCAGTCCCAGATGCTGTGCTCCCAATCCAGCTCTCTGCTAATGCAGCTGGGAAATGAGGGGGCCATGGTCCAAGTACATGGGTTTATGACAAGCACAGGGGAGACCCGGATGGAGATCCAGGCTCCTGGCTCCAGCCTGACCCAACCCCAGCTAGTTGAACCATTTGGGAACATTCGCCAGCTCTCTCTCTGACTCTGTCTTTCCGATAAAATTGAATAATCTTTTTTTCAAAAAAATTTCAATCTTTCAAATAAAGATTTTTTAATGACATCAACACATAATCAGGGTACATTTCCTGCTTGCCTTAATTCAACTTAGATCTCTATTCAAATGCTGATATTTTGTTCTATGGTAGGGTCTTTTTTGTATTAATTTTGAGTTTTTAAAAAGTGCATTATAAGATTATTTATCTACAATTTGTTTTGTTTCCCCTGACATTTTGCACCATAGCCAAGGGCCTCCCCTGGCCCACCCCAATCCCAGCCTTTCCGGCCATCTGCAGAAGACCAGCAGGTATCCATCGCAGATGAGGTCAGCATTTTATCCCGAGTGCAAGGTCAGACAAGGGCAGGATTTGAAGCAGGGAGGTGATGGCCTCTTACTGTCATTGTAAAAGACCATTCCCTGGAATTCCACGTCTCTGGGGACAATATTTACCAGACGTGACACTGTAGAAGTTCTGAAATCCCACAACGGCACAGATGCACAGTGAGAAGCACGTCTCAGCCCCGTGAGGCCCCCCAGCACCTGGCCGCAGGCCTCACTGACTTGTGCTGGGGCATCCAAGCTGGCAGGGCCCTCAAGGATCTGTCTGTAGCCAGACCCTTTTTATCCACTACAAGGACCAGAAGCACAGAGGAATCTGCTAGACTTGCCTGCCAAGATGATGTGCCCGGAAGCACCAGGGCTGGACTCCAGGCCAGCTGGGAGCTCCTTGCCCTGGGGCACGCCTGCATAAGCTCTCTGGCTGGCCTGGTTCTGCAACACAGCAGCAAGGACACAACGAGCAGAGGCAGATTGCACATCCCACAGCTCAAGGCCCTGGCTTTCTATCCTCCCAAAATCCCAGTGTCATTGGCAAACACTCTGCACGGAGTTCAGGCCTCATCTCGCATCTGATGCAAGAACTGTGCTCCGTGGGGCTATCAGGCAGGAAGGCTGCCCTTGGCCCGGGCCCACAGTCTGAAACTAGGACACGGCTCACTTGGAGGCCAACCCGGGTCAGGAAAGTAACTTTCTGACACCAGGGAGGGTTTTATCGGGCAGAGAAAGATGTAAGATGAAACGGGGCAATGTGCTGTGGGCACCCTCTCCCCGTGTCCCTGAGATGGACAGACAGCGGACTCTCAGACCTTTACAGGCTCTGAGCCAGGCAAGCTCCCTGCAGTGGAACAAGAGCAAGGAGCTCGGCCCTGGTCACCCCTCAACCCCAACCGGTGGACGGAGAACCACGGGCCTGCTGGTGTGGTCTGGAGAGCTTTAATCTAAACACGGCACTCGTTCCTCGCCATGGTGGGCAGGACAGAGGGCCCAGCTTTTCCCAGACACTGTTAGACGCTGCTGGAAAGGCCAAGCAAGATGTGTCTCACACACCAGGGCGATCACACCTCTCACCTCAGTGCAATGTCACTGGCAAAGGGCTCACGGGCAACAAAGAGCTGAGCTGTCGTCCTCCTGCAGGTCTCCCTCACCCCTTATTCTAAACAGGGCCTGTCTCTCAGTTTAGTCCATCATAACATGGCTCATGTTACTTCTCTAAGAGCTTAACACCTGCATACCCCCAAAAATTCATGGAAAGATGGAACTGAAAAGTATGTTCATTTGGGGGGCCCGGTGCCATAGTCTAGTGCCTAAAGTCCTCGCTTTGAACCTGCCAGGGTCCCATATGGGCACTGGTTCTGATCCTGGCAGCCCCACTTCCCATCCAGCTGCCTGCTTGTGGCCTGGGAAAGCAGTCAAGGACAGCCCAAAACCTTGGGATCCTGCTCCACATGGGAGACCCGGAGGAAGCTCCTGGCTCCTGGCTTCAGATTGGTTCAGCTCCAGCCATTGTGGTCACTTGGGGAATGAATCATCGGACGAAAGATCTTCCTCTCTGTCTCTCCTCCTCTCTGTATATCTGACTTTACAATAAAAATAAATAAAACTTAGGAAAAAAAAACATAAAAAAATTGAAATCCCTGTATGTACTTTCCAGGAACTTTTTGAAGACCTGGATTCCCCTAGAGCCACAGATAAAGATAAAAGCATCAACGGCCTAGCAGAAACAGCAGGAAAAGCGCAGGGCAACGCAGACGGAGGGCAAGTGCCGTTTCACGTGTTGCTGTGCACTTCCTGGCGCTGGAGGGAAGAGAAGGAGGAACACAATGTACTAAGTAGCTCAGATTCCCAGGGAGGGGGGACCAGCTCATCGTGCACGCCGTTTCTTCACTGGCCTCCAATTACAAGGAATTTATTAGTTAAGCCCGTGGCACAGCAACAACACCACGGAGCCAAGAGACTCCAGAAATGCACATCTGTTTTTATCATTAACACAACGCAGGATCTCGGGGATTCAGGGCGATATCCTGTATCACGGCCATCCCAGGAGAAGGCCAGGCTCACCGGGAGACCTGCCAATCACCCTGCAGCCTCAGGACACCGACCACAGAAGGGGTCCTGGTTACCGCGTGAAGCGAGATGACCCCGAGTCACCTGCTAACCAAAAAGACAGACGTCCGAGGCTGCTGGTGCTTACCTTCAAGTGGCCAATGATGAACTTGTGGACAATGTGGTTCCAGGTGGACTTCTTGTAGACAGAAAGGTGGCCGTAGTCATGTTGGAGCCATCCAGCCTGGGCCTAGGACAGAAGGCCGCAGGTGTTTTTAGGGCATCAGCCAGCGGGCACCAGGCCTCTGAGCGGCAGGGGAAGGTGCCATGCCTCACCTGAGAGGTAGCCAGCACAAAGGCCGTGATGATCGTGGGGATCCAGCCATTGCCAAAGTAGAAGACGATGAACCAGGCGATGCTCTCCATGACAATGATGTGGGCCAGCAGGAGCAGGAAGAACAGATGGTTGGCCTGGAACAGGTTCATGTCTTCAGCCGTCTTCTTCAGGGTGCGGAAGTCCTCCGTGATCTGAGACTGTCAACGAGCAACACGGGATAGGAGGGAGGCAGCTGGGCACCGTACATCCCGGAGAAGCCGTGGCCCAGGGGACACACCACAGTGGCTGCCGACCCCACACCCCTGCCACGTGCCTAGCACAGCCCTGGGGACTACGACTTGTCCACAGGCGATTAAGTGACAGAGCAAGGATTCGACTCAAAACTTTGTCTTTTGTATACCACTGTTCACAGCATTACCACACACAACAGGCAAAAGTAGAAACAACCTGAGTGTCCTTGACAGGTAAATGAGTGGACAAAATAATAAACAGGGCACAGCACCACGGTGTAACACATTAAGTGTCTGCCTATAGTGCCAACATCCCCTATGGGCACTATTCATATCTTGGTTGCTCCACTTCCATCTAGCTCTCTGCTTACGGCCTGGGAAAACAGCAGAGGATGGCTCAAGTTCTTGGGCACCTGTACCCCTGTGGGAGACCCAGAAGAAGCTCCTGGGCAGGAGGAGGCCAGGGGTGTACCTGGACACAAGCAGGTGCACCGAAGGGGGGGGTCTTGGAGATGGTGGGTGGAAGGAGCCAGAGGTGGGAAGGCCCTAGAGAAGAGGCCGAATGGAAGGAAAGGGAGACGCAGGTGCAGCTGGAGAAGCCAGGCAGTGGAGCTGCAGGGTACAGAAGAGAAGCTGCCGGCCATGGAGGGCTGCAGAGGCTGGCAGAGGTGGGAGAGGGAGCCACATGTGAAGGAGGCAACGACAGGCAAGCTGGCATCAGCAGCGGCATGGAGAGGAGATCTTGTGAGCCCTGGAGGCCCAGATGGAGTGTCTCCTCGGGCAGGCCAGGAGCCCATACCAGGAAAGACCTTGTGTCCTGCCGGGCTCCATGCCAAGGTAGGGTGGCTGGCACAAACCCCAGAGGGCAAGAGGAAGGGCTCCCTGGGCCAAGATCCGGCTTTCACAGGGAGTGAGGGAGAAGGCTCAGAAGCAGCCAGCCCCATATGCCAAGCAGGACTGTGATGGCGCTGAGAGCTGTGACAGTAAGTCAGCCCAACCACCTGCTGGCATCAGCGGCTCACACAGCCTGCAGAGCCCTGCCTGGCACAGACAGGAATGCAGGATTTCCTCGGCACTACCCCAGCCCTGAGGTCCTGGGCAGGCCTCATGCAGATGTACGCATGCTGTTTGGATGAGGCCAAGTCCAGCGGACGCTGGAGGGCATGGGCCAGCTTCTCAGTGCAGCTGAAAGATGGGGACAGAACTGGGAAGGGATTACTGCAGGGCAGGGTTAGAGTGGCAGGAGAGAGGAGATACCAGAGGCTCCACCAAGCCAGGACGTCTCTCATGTGCCCCTGGTCCCCAGGATGCAGGGACCTCTCCAAGCCCACCTCCTCAAGCCCCCACCCAACCATGCAAGCCCTACTCACGTTCTTGCCACGGTCAAGACTGGGTTCCTCCGGGGCCAGCTCGCCAATCAGCAGGGGCTTCAGGAACTTGCCCACGACATCCAGGTCAGGGTGGAAGGCCCGGAAAGCATCCTGGGAAATGGAGGCGAGGCAGGGGTGAGGAAGGGTGGAAGGTGAGCACACAACCGCAGCAGTCCCCCGGGTTTCCCATGATCATCCGGCCCCAGGGCCCTCTCTGGCCTCCAGCAGCAACAGCTGTCCTGGGACTTTGTGCTGTTTGGGCACGCGAGTCCACCAGGGACTTGTGGGTGGTCTCAGCAAGCCAGAAGAAGATGCACCTCCGGGCAGGTGCACCAAGGAGTTGGGTGGGGGATCAGAGCTGAGGGAGGCCCTGACTGCTGACCTGGGGCTGAGTTCACGCTTTGTGCGGTGTGCGAATAACACCACCCCACAGTAGCTCCAGGCTCAGTGTTCCCAGCTGCCAATGAAAAGCAAGGCCGAAAATGCACTGAGGTCACGATAAACAAGAAGAAAACACGGAACTATGTGAAAAGACTTCCTGAAAGAAATCTGGAGACTTCCGAAAGAAATCAACTATTTTCATACACATTAAAAACAGTGTGACGAGGGGCTGGCACTGTGGTGTAGCTGCTTAAGCCTCTGCCTGCTGCCTCAGTAGCATCCTGTACGGGTGCCGGCTCTAGTTCCACCAGCCTCTCCCTGCTCCCCCAGCAGGGCAGAGAACGACGAGTGAATCTTGGTGAGGGCACAACACCGTTCACTTTTTCTTCCAACGTGTCTGCATGTTTGGGGAACTTTTTCTTTATGAACTTTGTAGGACTGGAGCCACAGTACGTTAAGCCTCTGCCTATGACACCAACATCCCGTATGGGCACTGGTTCCTGTCCCACTTCCGGCTCAGCTCCTTTGCAAGTGCACCTGGGAGAGCAGAAGAGGATGGTCCAAGTGTTTGTACCCAAATGGGAGACTCGGAAGAAGCTCCTGGCTTCAGGTCGGCTCAGCTCTGGCCATTGCAGCCATTTGGAGAGTGAACCAGTGCATTGAAGATCTTTCTTTCTTTCTTTGTCTCTCCTCTCTGTTTGTGTCTTTCAAATAAAATAAGTAAACAAATAAAATAAACCTTTAAAAACAATGAGCTGTATGTGTCAGCATGACCCATGGCGCCAGAAGCCCGTTCGGATCTAACGCGCCTGTGAAAGCAGCAGAAGATGGGTTCAAGGTTGCTCCTGGCTCCCACCTGGCCCAGGCCCAGCCCCTGGTGCTGCCATTTAAGAAGTGTGCCTTTCCCATAAAGGAAAAGCAATCTTTAAGGGGGGGGGGGGGGAGGAACAAAAGGGCAGGGTGGGGACAAGCTGACAAAGTAAAACGTCCTCCCCAACCCAAGGGGTAGTCGCCCTCAGACCAAGGGCAGTTGCTGGCCTCCTCCTGCCTGCTCACTGCGTCCCTTACACGGGTCTTCTCTAGATCTTTGTTTCACGTGCATCTAGAACAGGCTTACTAAGTGACACATCGTGCAGGCAAAACCAGCCCAAGGGCTTCCGAAAGGGACAGCTTAGCCTGATGACATTTCAGAAAGACAGAGACCCTGCAGGGACCCTGGGCACACAGCGAGGGGCCTCAGGGCCAGCGCCAGACCAGCTGCCCCTTCTCTCCCACCACCCAGGCTCTGTCACCTCTGCAACGTGAGGAAGGCCTGGGAAAGGCACAGCTGCAGCTGCTGAAGGCAAGGTCATGCTGGAGGCCGAGAAGGCCCCTTCCCGGGCTCTCGACACACCAGACCAGGGCTCTGGAAACAGACAGGAAGTCCCAGGCAAGGCAGCTTCCTGCAGAGCCACAGAGGGCCCGAGGGCCACACGGATCCTCACCACAGCTCATGCGGATGCGAAATTCAGCACGTCCATCTCAGCCAGTGCCGCCTGCCCAATACCAGAGCACGGGGGAAGGACCCCGCCCCAAAGCCCAGCCAGGAGCAGATGACAGCCCACAGCCCTGATCAGCTGCTCCCTTCAACCCCTCCCTGGTCCACAAGCCCTCAGAGCCTCACCTCCCTGCGCCAGCCACGTGCCAGGCAGGGTGCCAAGCGGCACCTTTATGGCCCCTCCTTTAAGCCTCCAAGCTCTGTTTGCAGACATTGACGTACAAGAAACAAAGTCCTTGCTCCAGGTGGCAGTGCTGGGCCCCAGGCCAGGTCCACCTGCCTCCGAAGGCAGCTCTCTCCCAAGCGCTTCCTGCAATCTCGGAACACCAAGTGCTCCAATGGACCGGCTAATGTCGCGGCTGAGCTGGCAGCCTACGCAGAAGGCCTGCTGTGGCCTGTCCTTGAACACACTAGGGATGGTCCTTTCGGAGCCATTGTCCCCAGCCACCCACCTGAAACAGTCCTCCTGCAGTCATGGGACACTACCCTGCTTTATCTTCATACTGGTCAACACGGTGACCTCAATGGCAGGCTCACACACGCTGTAGCCTGTGGGCCCTTCTGGAACAGGAGCAGCTGCACGTAGGCGGATGGCCGACACACCGCCTGCTGAGGTCACATAGGCTGGCCTCACGTAGGCTGGCCTCAGAACTCCCTAGTGGTCTGCGTGCAACAACCACGAATGGCTACCAAGCCCTGTAAAGCAGAGATGTAAACAGAGCTTGGCAAAGCCACCTGCGCCCTGGCCACACTGACGGAATTCTGCAGTTGTATCAGCCGTGCTGTATTCAACTGGCTTTGGTCACTATAAAGAAACACGTAACATAGGCAGCTTTGGGAGAGGCAGGGCTTGCTCCAGCTCCCAGCCCAGCACTAGGTGATCACGATCGCTGGGCACTGAGTGCAGGTGTTCTTCTGCCAGAGTCCTGAGACGGCACCATTCAGCAGGAGGGAGTTCAGGTGTCTGCCTCTGTGGTCTCTTGTGAAATGACCAAGATGTTAACCGTGGGGCTCCACACTAATGACCCGACCCAGCCCAATCCCAAAGACCTCCAGATGCCCTAATTGGCTTCACTTTCACCCTCTTGGTGCTGCCAACTTAAGAATCAAGGCACCAGGGAGGCCTATGCCCCATTTGGTGGTGCCTGGTTTGAGTCCTGGTTGCCCCATACTTCTGATGACAGCCCAAGTCCGGTTCTTGCCAGCTACACCAGGGACCTGGCTGGAGTTCAGTTCCTGGCTTCAGCCTGGCCCAGCCCAGCTGTTATGGGCTGTGTGTGTTGGCGGGGGGTTGGGGGAGGTTCAGCTTTTCCCAAGCATGCAGACAGGCCGAACACCAGCCCAAGGCTCCCTACAGCTGTTTCACGACAGGAGTATCTGCTTAGTACAAGACAGGTTGTGGTGGCAGGGCAGGCTGGGGCCAAGCCAAACGTTGATTTTGGAAAGAGAATAGAAACAAGACTCCATCCTCGGCAGACAGGGACAAGGTGCCAAAATCCTTCCAGGAAGAAGCTTCAGTGTATGAAAGAAGAGCAAGGAGGACAAGCAGGTGCAGAGCACAGAACCAAATTGGTCCCCAGAGCAGTCTCGTGTTGGTCACAGAGCTGTCAGCAGGGAGAGGCAGGGTCAGCACACCCAGCTTGCCTAGGCTGCTTTTGGGCCTTTGCTGGTGCCCGCTTTGCTGTCCACCAGCTCTGAAGCCAACAGCTCCAAACACCTTCGCCCTTGCCCAACTCCAGCAGGAGTTGACACTCACCACCCACACCCAGCACACCAAGCGCCTGCTGCCAGGTCGCACCCCTGCCTGTGCCAACGCCCCCTGCAGATGAAGGCTGGTTTCTAATCCAGCTCTGCAGATCCAGCCACTTGGCCTAGGACTCAGCACAGGATGAGCCAAACCCAACGCCCATAGTGGGATTACCATAGAACTAGTGATCAAAAGAGATACTGACTCCCTTCCCACAGTGAGCAGATGCTGGCAGGGTGGAAAGCCCTGTGCCACGTCTCCAGGGAGGTTGGTGGGGGCAGTGTGCCCAGTGGCAAGAGCATTGGAGGGGGTAGGATGCTAAATCCCCTGAGGACAGAGGGCTGTACCAAAAGAGGCTCCTGCCTAAAGAATGAATGCATTGGCTCTTCTCGGAACCACTCCCAGAGTTTGCCTGGACTGCCCCTCTGGTTAGCCTGCTGTGCTGTAGCTGTCAGACATTGATCAGTTCCCACCCAGATGGTAGCTAGGAATTCATAACCCAGACCCTCTGTTCCCAAACACCACGGCGGGGGCTAGCATTGTGGCACAGTCCATTAAGCCACCACTTGCAGTGCTGGCCTTTCCTGCCTTAGTACCAGCTGCTCTGCTTCTAATCCAGCTCCCTGCCAACATGCCTGGGAAGGCAACCGATGACAGCTCTCAAGTATCCGGACCCCTACCACCCATGTGGGAGAGCCAGACGGAGTTCCTGACTCCTGGCCCAGCCGTGCTGTTGTGGCCATGCCGTTGTGTGAGAGAAAGCCAGCAGATGGAAGCTTTCTCTTTTCCCCAATGCTCTACCCTTTAAAGCAATCAATCAATCAATCTTAAACAAGTAAATAAACATCAAAGTCCAAGGTCCTGTCTTAAAGGAGGGACCATCCTCCATTTTTCTCCCGTTTCCTTGCCAGGAAAACGGCAAGACGGAACGTTAATCTCCGATGCTTCTCACCTTCCCTTGATTCCCAAGAGACCCAACACAGACAGGGCAGGGCAACTGCTGAGACCAGCGGGCTGGGAGGGACTGGCATCTGGGGACCAAGTGCCCAGAGCACCACTCGGCCCGAGATAGAGAGGAGGGAAGCACCGGATTCGAGTCACCGTCCGTGAATTATTCATCCTTGTGCCTGGGCTCAGCTCAGAGGCCAGGAGACACCCAATGAATGTTTGATTAATTGTTGCAGAAGACACAGAGTCCCCAAGGGGAACGCCCTGAAACGGAGCAGACACAGGCATGGGGGTGGGAGGCGTTCTTTGGGCTCCCAGCCAAGGCAAGAAAAGGACAGGAGGACCAGGGGAACAGAGACGAGAAGTGCAACTAGGGAGCAGAGCAAGGCGGGCTCTGCATCTTGAGCGCAGGGAGGTGACACCTTCAGCAAGCCCCTGAACCCTCGGAGCAGTGAGCAATCCACAGGGTTGCTTTGAGCACAACCACAGCATCACCAACGAAGGGCCTCTGTGACTGCTGTGGGCTGCGGGACAGGGGCCGTGGCGTCTCTCTGTCCTGACCTGCCCTGGCTGTGCCTTCCTTTTGAACATTCACAGCCTCCAGGCTCTGAGATAGGAGGAACAAAGACACTTGCTCCACAGCCCCTCAGCTCCTGCAACCTGCTCCCCCCCTCAGCCCCTCAGTTCCTGCAACCTGCTCCCCCACTCTCAGCCCCTCAGCTCCTGCAACCTGCTCCCCGCTCTCAGGCCCTCAGCTCCTGCAACCTGCTCCCCCCCCCTCTCTTTTTAGGGCTCTTGCTCATACCAGCCCCGACTGCCCAAGGCCTTTTTCCATCCTGATCCTTTACAGTCATTTACAAAAAAGAAAGAAAAAAGAAAGAAAGAAAAGAAAGGCATCCCAATAGGTCAAGTTGCCATTAGTGGACTCCCAGGTTCCAGCATCTCATGCCCCACAGGTCTTATTTTGCAAGGCAGAAGCTCCCTGAAGAGGAACTAACACTGTACTGTCCTCTGTTAAGTAAAACCAGCCTAGATGTGTAGCTTTTCTTCACATACTTTGCATTCCGGCTTTCCCTGTCATCAGTCTGATGGTCCCCTGTGGCATTCCTCGGGTGCCAGCATGTGACGACCCACATTGCTGGGAACGGAACATATGGAAATGGGTAGACAGGTGTACCTTGTGGACGTGGGGCAGGACTCTCAGCCACACCACGGTGTACAGCACATGAACCCAGCCATCATGCCTATTTTTTTTTACAGGGGAATTCCAGGGCTGTTTGTGGCCTACTCTGGCTCACACCCAAACTTTCTTATAACGGGGAACTGACATCCAATGTGCCAGATTTACAGTGCAAGAAAGCACACCAGTGCAAGGCCAGAAACACGGAGACTCGGACCCTGTTATGAGACAGAAAGGGGCAGGAGATGCATCCAGGGACTGATTTCGGAGGAAACTCCCTGCTCCGTTCAGGGAAGCCCTGGGGACTCCAGAACAAGGCTGCAGTAAACCCCAGGTCTTCTGCTTAGAAGTTCAAGGTGCTTGCCAATCTTGTCTACTTGACAAAAAGACCAAAGCCATCATCACGGTAAACTTTCGTCTCTAGGAAGCTGTTTAGTCCTAGGAGATGGGGACCTGGCAAGCCCAGCACCGCAGAGTAACGGCCAGATCCTAACCCGGCGCCAGCAGGTATCTTATTTGGAAATCGTTTTTCCTGAAGCTCCTCACTGGGTCTGGCACCAGAGACGATGATCTGAAGGTGTCTAAGTCCTAGTGAGCAGCCCCAGCGCTCACAGGCACATGAAACAGCTGGGAGCTGCAGGCCACCAGTGCAGTCCAACCTGGGACAGGCCTCAATCCAGCCTCCTTCAGCAGCGCAGAGCACGGCTGCTTGGTCTGGCTTCCTAGGCCTGTCTCACTGAGCTGGAAAGAGGTGAGGGACTCAGGATCTGGGCTGTGCGGGGCTTGGCCAGTGAAAGGTCCGGAGCCCACCAGCCCCCCTCCCCCACTCTGTTCCCAAGGGTCCAGAACCACCAGAACTACTTGTCAACTTACCACCATTCACAACCACAGGAGAAGCCCCTTTCTTCCCTCCCCATCTCCTCCTGCTCTGAGTCCAGCAGCTGAATGTCCTCCCCTCCGCGCCCCCACAAATTTGGTGGGGAAGGCTGTGAAACCGCTCAGCCATGTACTGGGTGCCAGAGAGGGCCCCTCGGGAGAGACCCAACGGCCCACGGAGTGCAGGAAGAGGGACAGGCGGTCCCGGGCGCCTTTAAAAACAGAGGGCCATTGAGTTGAATGTCCGCGAGTAACCCCGGGTGCAGACGACCGACCTGTTGCCCAAGCAGCCCGGTGCGGCTGAAGCCTTTGGTCCCCGACCTGAGCTCGTCCCACTCCAGGTCCCCGCCCCCGGATGCCAGCAGGCCGGCCGTTGGGGTGGGAGCGTGGGAACCCGAGCTCCAGGGCGGTCTCTCGGAGCAGCCATTGCGGACCTCCTTGGAGCTGATTCTACACGGGGCGAGCCGCGCGCGGGTCCGGGAGCCGCTTTCCCTCTCCGCCCGCCGAGGCTGGCTGGAAAAGGCGGGACGCGCGCGCAGAGTCCCACACGGGGCTGCTCCCGCGTCCGCTCTCCGGCTCCTCGTCCCGGCGCCCAAGGGTGGCCGGCCATCTTTCGCGCTGAGGGAGAGCAAGCCCTAGGGTCAGAGCGCCCTCTTTGGGGGAGTCCCTGGCTCCGGGTGAAAGCCGCGGGAAGCGTGGGTTCCAGCGCGCGACAGACAGCGCACGGCTTCCTAGCTCTGGGACCTCCCTGAGGGGCTGCCTCACCGGCCGTGCCAAGTCCGACGCGGGTCCCGAGGAGACCCAGCTGATCCAAAGCAGGATTCTCGGGAGACGCGCGGGTGTCCACACACTTTCCCTGCCTCCTGGACGTCCCACGCGCCATCCAGCGCCCGAAGAGCTGTTTGGCGCCCAGCGTCCCCGGTTCCTGACTCTGCCTGCAGCAACCCAAGGGTGACCCGAGAGCTCCCCAGTGCCTACCGTGGCATCTTCTCCCGCGTAGTGCCCGATGACCCGGTGGCCCCCCGGGTGTCGCTGGGACCACTTCGTGACGTTGTAAACCTTGCGGTCGATGACAAGCCACTTGTCGGTGCGCAAGTTGTGCTTCTGAATCTCCTCCCAGCTGAAGGTGGGCATGGTCGCCTCCCGCTCGGGAGCCCCCTCGCCTTGGTTTGCCCCCTTCCCCATGCTGCCTGTCCCCACTCGGGTGCTCCGTGCAGTGCGGCCTCCTCGCTCCCGCAGCTCGCTCGCTGGCCAGACAGACGGCTCCCTCCTGGTCGCGGTGCGTTCTCGCGTTCGGCTTTTGTCTTCTACTCCTCCTCCCACCGCGCCCCCTCCCCTCGCTCTCGCTCCTCCTCGCCTGCGCTCGAGAAGTATCCCTGGCTACTCAGTGCCCCCCAGCGGTCCCCTTCCTCCGCCCCGCCCGCTACAGACTTTTGCCTCCGGCAAAAACTCCCGGATAGCTCAGGGCCCCGACGACGCCTCCTCCGCCCGCCCCTCCAGCCCCCTCTCCCCACCCCACCCCTCCCCCTTGCCCGGGGCTCCGCATCCTCCCGCGTTCCCCGCCGCCCGGGTTTCCACAGTGATCAGCAGAGCGCCTGCACCAATCAGGGCGCGTCGCCCCGCCTGCCATTGGCCCAGGAGGATCTTTCGAAGGCCAGCGGGCTGGAGCAGCGGGTCCCCGGCTCCCCCGGCTCCCCCGCCCCGCGGCGTGGAGTCAAGCGCTCCTGCGAGGCCCCGCTACGTGTCCGACCTCCCCCCTCCCCCGCTGCGGGTCCGGGCGCCCGCGGAGATTCCGAAGGGGCGGCGGCTGGGCTCTGTGTGCTCCCGGGCGCGCGCGCGCCCTCCGGGGGGTTGCACCTGATGCCTGCACGGAGGGATGAGCCGCGCACCGGCCGCCGTGCGGGCAGACGGCGCCCTCCGGGGTGGTTGGGCGAGGTTGCGCCCTTCCTAGGCCGGCCGCCGTAGTGAAGACTTGGATGTCTCACATTGTCTGGCGCCCTCCCTTAGCTCTTTGGCCACAAGCTCTCGCAGGCCTTGGAAACCTCTCATTAGACAGTGTTGGAGAAGAATTGGTTTGTGGAACCTCTGCTGGGCTAAAGCCTGGTTAGGGGGCGTGGGAATGAGGGGGGAATAAACACCTGGGGTGGGAGACAAGGGTTGCCAGCGTGCACCCAACTCTCCTTGGGACCCCCACAAGTTCGTTGAGAAATGTGGAAACAATTTCCGCTCGACTGGGCACTGCAATTTGTACTGGAGAAGATAAAGGCTGAGCCGCGCGGTCCGGGTGGGAGAGTTTTTCAGGCAGGAGACACAGCCCTGCCCCTTTTGCATCTTTTCCCGGGCTGGTTGGAGCCTAGGAAAGATGGCTGGCCCAGAATCCTGGAGAAGTGGGTTTGATCTGTAAGGCTCCCGGGGAGAGGACAGCCAGTGGGGAAGCAAAGATGGCCCGAGGGAGTTAGGGAGCACTCCCTTCGCTGACACCCTGGAGTCTTGAGGCAAGAGGCAGGTAAAGACCTGGTCAGCAGGTGGGCCACTTCTGAGCTGAGGCTGCTGATGACTGTGGATGGCCTCTGGCAAGGAGCCAATTTGATGCAAAGGGGAATGAAAGTTCACTGTGGCCCCAGGGTCAGATGGCCACTGTCCCCGACCTGTAGGCCCGTTCTGCATGAGTATGCCTGCTGGCATCAGGCCAGAACCTTGCCACCCCTGCAGAAACCCCAAGCTCGGGAAGGGCAGTGGGTCTGGCCGTGAGAAGAAGTTAGACAAGATAAAGGGAGATGAGGAAGGTACCCCCAGGAGAGTCTGCCTGTTGCAATAACACTAAGTATGTCACCTTTGAAAAAAGATATAGACATTTTTATTTGAAAAGGCGAATTGACACAGAGAGAAGAGATCTTCATTCCACCAGTTCACTCTCCAAATAGCTGCAAAGGCCAGAGCTGGGCCAGTGCATAGCCAGGAGTCTGGAGCTCCTTCCGGGTCTCCCGTGTACATGCAGGGTCCCAGGGTCATAAGCCATCCTCTGCTGCTTTCCTGGACCACCAGTAAGGAGCTGGATCAGAAGTGGAGTAACTGGGACTGAAACACCCGACAAGAGAGGCCAGCAGCACGGCAGAGGCTTAGCCTGGTACACCATAGTTCTAACCACATTAATTTTTCTTGTTTTTTTTTTTTTCAACCATGTTATTTTTTTCAAAATGTGGACGAGCACACTGCACAGAAAGCTCCCATGCAACATTTTACAGGACTGTAAGCGCTCAGAGGAGGGAGTGGCATCTGAAAGGGAGACCCAGGGAGGGCATGGCAGGGGAGCCCCTGAGGATGGGATGGGGCCTGGGGTTTTGAGCAGGTGCCAACACAGCACTAATGGGATAGGCCCTGACAAAAGACAGGAACGAAAGAGTCAACGGTGAGGCATGCTTGGCGTGGTTCAAATGGGAAAAGCCTTAGGAAGAACCAGGATGGGGCAGTTTAGCCCAGAGGCAAGGTGGGGAGACTTGGAAAACCACCCCTGTGCTCCAAGCATATATATGGTCTAGGCTGGGGGTACGGTGGGCTACGGGCAAAGGGTGAGAAGAGTAGAGGCAACCTGAACGGAGGGAGGATTTTAGGAAGCCAGCTCCACTCTGGCCGCTCTGTTCCTTTCCTGTCCCTCCACTCACTCGGATGGCAAGAAGCAGCTGTGTGCTGAAAAAGAACCTGCAGTATCCAGGCAACGACAGAGCCACCCGGGCTCAGAGAGGGACGAGGTTCCCATGACTTTTTCCTCTGCCCGGCAGATCCCTTCCTCCATCCCCAAGCAACACCGCCTGCCAGGAGGTTGTTGTCACCAGTGTACTTTATCAGGGACAAAAGAGAGGAGCCTGGGTGGCTTGCAGCCCAGATTCCCAGCCAGCCAAGTGGGTGAAAGGCCGAGCCGAGTGGGGAGGGGCTGCAAAAGCTGAGGCATGCAGGGAGGCAGCCTTGCCACCTGTCCGTGAAGGGAGGAGGCAGGCTTCCCAGTGTTCTCCCCGCTGCGAGACTGGCAGGTGTGAGAGCAAAGATGCTTTGTCTGCCAAGGGAGAGTAAAAGTGAAAGACACCCTCCCTGATCCACTCCCTGGCCCCTTCACTCCTCAGCTCCCCACAGCCCTCTCCAATCCTCACAGCAATACCAGCAATGCCTCACTTCATCTTGCATGGACCCAGGCACCTGTGCAACATTGGACCCAGGGTGAGCCATCGGTACACAGAGGTTCTTAGGTTTACTCAAGCACGGTTAGGGGAGCTGTTACTACTCTACCTCGGCAGACAAAGTCCCAGATAAGGAGGGCTGGAAGGCAACTCTATCCAGCATGTTGGGACAGTCTCTGAAAAGTCACCAGCAAGTCCAGCATCTCCTTTCCGACCTGAGAGCTGTCTGGCAGGCCAACACTCCCAAATGCCTTGACACCTGGATGTTCTAATCATCCGCACCCCAGTTTTCCTGGGGAACACTGCAGTTCTGGTCTCCTCCACCTCCTCCTCAAGGCGTTGGCTCAGGACTTGCCCATTGGAGGCATCTGCACCCAGCGTCTCTCTGCCCCGGGGCCTCAGCACGTTTCCACCCAGGCCTGCACATGCACGTAAAGGGCAGGCTCGTGACTCAGGCTCAGCGTGCCCTCCCTGACGCACGCAGGGAGATATCGTGCATGTTCTGTGGGCCCAGCCATGTTGATCACTACCATTTCCCCTGCACATCTGAAGCTGTCATTGTCCCTGCCCCAAACCAGCTGCCCATCCCTCCAGCTTCCTCAAATGCTAATGACACTCAGTCCCAGAATTCCAGAACGTCCTTGGCTTCTGTCGTGTTCAACGGATCCTGCCTCCAATAGTTTCCATCCTGGTCTCTTATCCCATTGTCTCTGCTGCTGCCCTGAATGAGGTCCCCCCAACAACCAACCATGCAACACACCAAGCCCATCGCTCACTGTCACTCTCCCAGCCCCCAGACGGTCAATGGGTCTTCATTGCTTAATCAATTAAGCAGGGACGGAGGGACGGGATGAGGAAGGGAAACATACAACTATTAAGAATGTTCCTCAAAGACATTGGGTTTGCCCGCATTACTAGCCCAAACAGTGAAGTAACAACAACAACAACAACAGCTACTCACAAGTACGTCCACAGAGAGGATTCTGGAGAATGGCTCCTTATGCAGACTTGTGGTTGCAGCAGCCCAGATATGCCTGATCAGGCAGAACCAGCTGGTGGCTAAGAACAGGAGTGTCTCATTGCAAAAGGGTGTTTTTGGTTAGTCTGAAGATTGAAGGGAATAATAATAAAGAATGGTTCTCCCTACAAGACCCCGATCCCAACAGCTTCCGTGAGCCCTAGAGATTAGCAGTGAATAAGCACACCAGCCTCTAAAAGCCTTGTCTCATCTGAGGCAGAACACCAAGCACAGTAGCCAGGACAACCACACCAGCACACTGCAGGCCAGGCGACGTGTGTACAGCCTTGGATGTTCATGTCAGAACCATCACACATTTTTTTTTAAAGATTTATTTATTTTTCTTGGAGAGAAAAGGAGAGACAGAAAGATCTTTCACCCTTTGGTTCACTCCCCAGTTGGCTGCAGTAGCCAGAGTTGGACCAATCTGAAACCAGGAGCCAAAAGCTTCTTTTGTGTCTCCCACATGGATTCCAGGTCCCAAGGAACTGGGCCATGTTCCACTGCTTTCCCAGGCCACAAGCAGGGAGCTGGATTGGAAGTGGAGTGTCTAGGACACCAACAAGCCTCCATATGGGATGCTGGCATTTGCAGAGGGAGTCTTACCCAGTTGAGCCACTACACTGACCCCATCATGCAGTTCCCCAACATGCCCCTTTGTGACCCTATGAGGGATAGACCATGACATGACAGTCTATAGCCCCGGCCCTAGACACCAGTGATTTCAGAAAAATCAAGCACTGGCTCCTGCTGGTTTGATTTTCTATTGACCAGGCTAGCTTCAGTTACTCATCTGTAAAATGGAAGTGATGCCTTTCTCACCTTGGAAATCAGACAAGCACGATGACAACTAAAAGTACCTGAATGGCCCCATGGAACCTAACTACTCAACCATCTTTGCCATGGCTGTTACCCTACCTGTAGTGGCAGGACCTGGGCACTGCTACCAAGTTAAGTTTTTGTTTTTATTTGGCTATCATGGTATCTTCTTAATAAAGGTATGACTTGCTTCCATCATCATTATTATTACTTACATACTTTTATTTGACAGGCAGAAATAGAGAGACGGAGAAAAAGATCTTCCATCTGCTGTTTCACTCCTCAAATGCCACCATCAGTTGGGGATGGGCCAAACCA